AATCAAGAAAACCTCCTTGTGACCAAATAAACCGTATCAAACTTAACAGACTAATTGGAGCACTAGTTGGAATTCTTTTTCTCCATGGTTATGCTTTTGTTCTTTCAGTTAACCTACTAATGCAGATACCATTAAAAATAAACTAATTTGGACAGCTTACGAGCACAAAATACTTGTACTATCTATCAGTTTAATTATCAACCAACGGCGATTACTACGCATCCTACTGTGATTTAATAAAATATCTCCACATAAAATCATTCTTTGTTTAACTGTTAAATAATTTTCGCGTGGATTTCCATTTTTCGCACGTTAAGAACAAAAGCATACATATTGAAATTATTACATGTATTTCTCGATCACTTGCTGCCGCTTTATTTTCGATTTATCTATCAGCCTATCAATACGCGGAGTACTATTACTTTTCTTGATAATCCCCAGGACGCAACAGTCCTACTCGGTATGGTGTCGAACCAACGTCACTTTGATTCTGGTGGGAGTAGTGTAGTGGCATTGGGCTCTAACCACACAATCCTCAAAGCTGAACACGAAACAACTGGGAAAATGGATATTCGACATTTAACGCATGGAAATACCCAACTATGGAGAAGGTGGGAAGGGTTGAATTAAATTCATTGTATGGCATGACTTGGCGCTGCAGGTGTGGTCATTCTTGTGTAATTTACCCCTTTTATCCATAACAAATATATTGTTCTATCTCCAGCCTTAATTTGTTCTTAACCATATATTGGTAATGACCACGACATGACAAATCAGTGTAGACAATGTTGTGACATACGCATAGGATCTTACAGATTAGGTAGTCGCATCGTAACAAATCTACAATTTTAGGATTAGGCCCATAATTAGAGCAGTAATAATAACGAAGTACACCATGGCCGATTCTTGCCATGTGCAACAAATCAAAGACATTAAATACGCGTTTCCAGTATAGAGACTATGCAAACGCTGACTGGGAAAACTTTCGATTTCTAATAAAGCACTCTGACTGTAGAAGATTCTTTACCAGTGATAACCTCTTAGAAACGTTAGAAATATTCAATACCACAACCAAATCTGCACTAGACACTACTATAACCTCTAAAGTTGGTTTTAAAACAAATACTCCCTATATAAACCAAAAGACTAGGTCTAAACTGAGAAAACTGAAAAGGACACACTATATATAAAAAGACTTCAGTGCCCTGCACCAGATATACTCTGTGCTTGGAAGAGCACAAAGTCAACACAACAAGCATAAACAGGTAGAGGAACGTGCTGCGCTCGCTGCGGCATCTAAAGCCCAAGCCCTATGTCGTCTTCTCACGAAACGCATAAGGAAGAACACAGATCACAACATTCACTCCTTACTGCACGATGGTGGGACGTATAATGACCAAACCGTCACATGTGAACTATTAGGTGAATGGTTTTCCCACAATGGGAACACATCTCATGCTCCGGATATCGACATTAAGTGCATCGTCAAAAGCTATCTTAGTACCATAAACTTCGATATTAGAAGTATACATACCGCCATTAAAAACATCATGCCAAATGCGAGTTCTGGTGGAGATGAAATCCCTTCAATCCTTTATAAAATGTCAGAACCGGACATACAAACGCTACTACTCAATATATACACATTATCTTTAAAGACAGGTATATATCCGGAAACCTGGAAGGTAACGTATGTTCTTCCGGACCGAGAAACCTGGTCGAAAACTACAGACCTATAAATATCACTCCAGTCATATCACGCGTAATGAGAAAATTGATACAAAATCAAATATCTGATCACATACTCAGGGGAGATCTAATAGACTCGTCACAACACGGCTTCATTAGAACAAGGTCGTGCAGTACATGTCTGATATACTTCTTTAACGAGGTTACTCGTATACGTGACCAGAAAAAACCAGTTATTATACTATACTTCGATATTAAGAAAGTCTTTGATAAAGTACCTCATAATCTTTTAATCAACAGACTCAAGTCAGTTGGAATTATAAATCCCCTTTTGCAATGGATCAAGTCTTTTCTCACGAACAGATATCAAATAACCAAGATTAACTCTAAAACATCTACACCTCGACCAATAACCAGTGGTGTTGTGCAGGATAGTGTCTTGGGTCCATTGCTCTTTATAATCTACATCAACAATATATGCAAGTGTTTTAGCACAGGTAAGACCTACCTCTATGCCGATGACTTAAAAGTCATCTATAAAACTGATATTTGCAATTTAATTAGTGCTATGCAAACAATCCAACATGAACTCAACATAGTAGACGACTAGTGCAAACGCTGGAGGTTAGAGCTCAACACAGAGAAATGCGGCTGGCTATGTATAGGAGACATGTCTCTTAAAATAAAACTAACACTTAGCAATCACACACTGCCCAGACTGGCATCAGTAACTGACCTAGGGGTACGTTACTCACACAGTCTTAATTTTTCTGAACACATCTCAGCCAAAGCATCCAAAATGCGGAAGTTGCTTGGCTTCATTCTCCGTAATTTCTATCAGAATGGATCTGAAATCCTTCTTTACAAAGTTTGTGTAAGACCTATCGTTGAATACTGCTCATTCTTATTTTTCAACCTACGCCTTCTGATTACTAAAGGTGGTAGAGATACAACGAGACTTCACCGGCAAAGTACTTAAGACTGACTCAGCCATTGACTACAGTTCCCGATGCCAAATCTTAGGAATAGAACCCCTTTGGAAGAGAAGGCATAGGTACCTGCGCATACGCAGGTACACGCCATTTTTACAGGCATGATCTATCAATTGCAACATTTATTAGTTCACAAAATGCTTCCCAACTTATTAAGTTTATAGTTGTTATAAAGTATACCCGTAGAGCGCTTGTTGTAAACTGTGATCTTGAGGGGACGCGTACGTCAAATTTGTCCCAGACGTCAGGAGTTTCATAGCTGTGCCCTCAGATCAATTTTCTGAAGAAGAAGAAAAAAGAGAGACAGATGAGCAGCAAGGCACTTGGATATGAACGCCAAACGTTGCTTAACATTGTGTAGTAGAACTGACAGAGGTATAACAAATTAGAATAAACTCATATAATATCTTGTTAGAGTGAAATGAAGTCAGAGGCTCCATATTAGAGAATGTAGTAATCAAGAGCAATGAGTTGTGTCGTTTAACGAGTTGTAGTAAGCTCACATGAAGGAAAGGAAGTCAAGGCTGGTACAAGGAAAGCGGTTTATTAGAAAGGTGTGTATATAGAGGATGAAGTGTTAAGAATACTAGTGACTATATATTTTGTTGTCTAACTTTTTTCTTTTATTTGTTTATCCGATGCCAGCCACATAATCCTAGTGTAAATGTCCGAGTTAGCAAGTTATAGGTTGTCTTAGTAGAATAGCTAATCCAGCATAATATTGAAAACGTGAGTCTGGGTGGTGAGCGTAGGAAAACAATCTATATCACAGATTGATAGACTTATTCTCAATCATGAAGGGCCTGATTTATTCAAAATGTTCTGCCCCCACAAACACGGGTGGATTGAAGTTATCGCCCTCACCATCAATGCTTGCTGGTTAGTAACTTCTGACATCTGAAACATACTTGACGTACACGTTTCCTCAAAGTCATGGTTTACAGCATGCGCTATACGAGTATACCTTATAAAAACTATAAACTTAATAAGTTGGGAAGCACGCTGTGTGCCAACAAATGTTGTAATTTATAGATGCCTGTAAAAACGGCGTGTACTTGCACATGCAGATATATATATATATATATCTCGGTTTTCGAGATTTCATCGAATATTTACTCAAATGGTCAGTCCTAGACAGAAGGAAAAGATAAGACATATTCAAACATATTATTAAAGGTCATCGTTCAGTACACAATAGACCGGTATTAGATCACCCCGTATTTAACGGTAAGATAACGGAAACAAGAATAGGTAAGAGGACAGACAACAGTGTTGAACCTCGAATACATAAACCTTGGTAATCACAACTTTCTCCGCCTTTGTGGTATCATCTTTCCGTATTTCTACAAAGGGTTTTTAAGATGTTAAGCGAAAACAGGGTCGGTTTCAAATACAGTTTCTTGTTCTCTGCTGTTTTTTTTTTCAAATTTTCTCATGATAATTTATTCTCCGTAGACAACAGTAATTGTCACATTCAGAAAGCACTTTATCTGCGGACTTCGTAATAATGAGCATATATATTGATCTAAGCTGAAATATTCAGTAATTAGATTATTCGGTCTGGTCTCTTTATTAAGGTTCATATTTAACTGTTGAAAGTACAATACCGCACTGTGCTGTACTACAAATAGTCAGCTAATCGCGGATAGCACAAAAGTGAGATAATAATTTTTTCGTTTCGAGCCTTTGAAAAACGTTTTGGATGTAAAAAACCAAATGTTAGCGGCTTCCAGATGCCTTAAGTGAACATTTTAAGGAAAATATATTTGGACCCAAAGTATAATGCAAATATAAGATTTCGAACTAAAGTGTTTAGAGGATAAGCCTTTTACATGGGCTAGAAACGGCTATTAAATCTAAAAAAGCATAAATATTGTATATCTTAATGATAATTCTGCACACAATATTTTTCTTGCTTTCCAAATTAAAGAGTTTGTGAGGACACTCAAGAATTTTAAAAACCTGAAAAATCATTTGCCGGCAGACAAACGTCTGTCCCACCGAATCATCAACGAATGTTACTCTTTATTGTAACACATAGTTAAAGATCCATTTGTTGACCCGTTCAAGAAACAGGTAAATTAACTGACTAACCAACCTCAGAGGACTTACACGAGCCAACAAACATATTGTCTTGACCAAACTGAAACTGTCTAGGAAGCTACTTATTTTCAATACTGTAATAAATATAAACTGATAATGTTAGCAGAAACCGACAGAGGTTCAGAGAGGCAACTGCTAAGTGCAAAGACAGTGAATAAAACGTCAGATTATTTTGCATTTGTTTTAGTACATCAGTTGCTAATATTTTCTACATAGGACTGGAGTGCCGGCTATTTTATTGTTTTCAGCTGTTAGTGGGTTTCCGTAGTTTGGACTGCTAGTTCTTAAATAAGTGCTATGTAGATTTATTATTGCTGATTTTCAAAAACATGCAAACTTTATTTTAGCGTCTAAATAGTAATCGGAGGGTTCTTACATAAAAACTCAACTACACGCTGCTTATCTCAATCTCCCTATTTTGAGAAAGCGGCACAAAAACCCCGGATTTCCTCAAATCAATGGGGTAAAAACATGTTGAGTACCTTAACTAAGTCGATAACTAAGAGTTAGAAAGTTATGGAGTGTGGATTTTGCCTATAGACAAAACTAAGGAGTACTATATATAGCACTTTAGTTTTTAATTTCCATCTAAATTATGTGTAGAAAGTAGTCCTTTACCCATTAACGATCGATGAGTCAGTACAACCTTAAGTCAGCTAATTGTAAGTTGACGCTCATTGTACGCTATTCATTGACGTACTGTTTGTGTGGTGTAGTAATGCGTAATTAGATGAATGATCCTAAATCTTCAATCCTGGAGAAATGTTCATTAAGTTTGGAGATTATTCATAGCTTTTACTTTTTTGTGGTTATTATCTCTATATCTTTTCTAACTCGGCGGTAAACCACTAAAAGAAACCTATTTATTGCTGTACAATTAACGCAAGCACTCTTCGGGCCAAATATTTATCATGAAAAAGTAGTAATCCTTTCGGAAATAGAACATGAGGTACTTTCAACAATCGAGTAACATGACTTTGTCCGACTTTACAACCTTGTTAATCATGTGTTAGATATATGGTGAGAAAATTCACGTTCTGGTATAATGGTGAAAAGAAAGGTCTGTATGATAGTTTCTACTACTCTTTCAGAGTGTCTAAATAGCTACTCAGTACCTTAGCCTGACTTTTGTCCTCTGTTCTGTTTTACTAGAAAATTTGTATTCTATCTATCAATGTACGTAGTTCTCCTTAAATCGGCTGGTGATAATGCTACTAGCATCGGTGATGACCCTTATGTACAGGTAGGTTAATTTTGTGATTACTTTGTCCACCATTTTGAAAAATTAGATATTAAAAAACTCAGGTTTCAGCGTAGACTTACTGGAAACTCTTGATTTCGAGTATAACATATCAAATCTAGCGGAATACAAAAATTGGAGGAACAATCACAGTTGCATTATTTTTAGTAGCCCACGTTCCGTTATCGCATGTGTTAAAGCTGGACTAACAGGTCAGTGTACTTTTTTATGACACCTTTTGGTAAATGATAGGTAATGAAAATGACCTTTGTTTCGTTGTTGGTCCTAGCACTGAGTTACAAGGTAATGAATCCCATAGTTATAAATATTGATAAAATCGTTTTATAGCTAAAAAAGCTGGATTTTCGCCTAAGGGAGCTGATTCTGGTGATGCGGAGAAGCTCGCTAGTTTTATTTTGAAGCACTTTGCCTCAAGTAATCTGTAGATAACCTAGTTTCTTCCACTCATTACACACAAATCATTTTACAGAATTGGATAAACCTATATTTTTCCCATCCGGGCAAGTACACCGCGACACACTACCGAAAGTTTTGGAAAATGAAGGTTTCTGTATAATAACTTAATATTCTTGAAATACAGGAAAAAAAGTGAATACCGTTGTGGCCTATTCTTCTGTAGAAAATACTCAACTTCATGAAAAACTGCGATTGAATTTATGTGTAAGTTCTCTGTTTTCAGGCATTGCAACAATAACCTTTTGAAAAAATTTATTCCCTTCAAAGTAACATCTGGTTTTCTGGCTAGGTTTAGCAGTATTTTCTGGATTTAATTGTGTGTTTTTGCTTGCTTCACAGCATAGCATCTTTGGATTATTCACATTGTTCATTCCATAGCTAACCAAATAATTCCTTTCGGAAAGTGCAACCAAAGCCACGTTCTGTTCACTGCAAATGCGCCTTGTGTACCTTAGTACACCAATCGTAAGTCAGTAGCTTATACAACAGCTGAGTTTAGTTACAGGCTCTTCTCAGCAAATTATAAACGAAAACAGACTGGCTGGAATCAGTCAGTGAAGTCATTGACTTTTGGACTGAATCCTAATGGTAAGTACTAACTACCTGTTGACCGAAAGGTTTTTCGGCAACGTTTGTCATTGAAAAGCGTACCATAGAAGTACATAAAGCTTGACCATGGATAAGGTAACAGAAGAACTAAGTTGCAAAATTTTCATACAGAATCTAATATTTCCAAAGTTCATGGTTTGAAATGAGAATAGGACAATCAGGTACAATTTACTTGCAGAATGTTAGCTCAGGTATCTTTCAGAAACAAGAATGTTTAAGCTATGTGGTATGTTTAAATTGGAAAGTAATTTTGAACATACTCTTTGAAGATTTGTACTACTAAATAATCTTAGTTGAAGGTCATCAGTACCAATTAGCAACATTAATAATCGAAAAAAATTTATCAGTAAGGCATATAGATGGATTTGCAAATATTTAGTACTGATTGTTTGTATTTGATTGTTCTTTTGTATGATATTGAAGCCTATAATTATAAAAATAATTTGTTAGTGTTTGTATCTTTTTCTAGGAAGGAAATCCTATTCCTGAATGTTTAGTATTTTTCAGTCCCTCTGGCGTTTCATTGACTGAAAAAATATTATTAACCGAAATTAAACCACATCGACCGAATATTAAAGTAAGTGTATGTTTTTTCTATGTCCTCAACTTATTTCACTTGAGAAGGTGTCGGTGCCGTTTCTATATAAAGTTTCTGAACTTACATTTTCATCTAACCAAAAAGATAAACTGGAGCAAGCAAAATTACTTTTGTTCTCATAGAAATCTATTCTGATAGCAGTGAATCTTGAAGACTTAAGGGAAGTATTCAAAATTCATAACAGTTTAAGTAATGAATCAATCAAATTATTAAGAAATGCACAACTGTGTTATGGAACTTCCATATTTCGCGATAGATGATTGTTGATTGGCTGTTGCGCGTATGTTTGGTGCTGTTTTATAAGGAGGAATATTTTTCGAGCTCATGAAAATAATACAATGATGAACTGTCAGAAAACACGCGAACTAGAAAACTCCTGTGTTTCATTTTGTCGTTAGATGTAGTTTCTGCTCGGTATTCAAGTGATCTAGAGTGTCATCAAACTCAGCTATTATAACGATACGACCACATAAGTTAGTGGAAATCTTGTTCGAATCAGTGATCTCAAGATTACTAAGCGAGCCAGGATTTGTGATCGCCTTTTACTCTCCGGTCTTATATCATAATAATGATAAGAAGGCGACTGCAGTCCAGCTTCTTTTCGCCTTCACTACCATTTCAGCTTTGGTTCACTAATTTAGGTATGCGAATAATACTATAAATAGTTTTAAGTAGACATAACTTATCATAAGATATAGGTATATGTGGTCAACCGAACTACACTTGATGTATACAGCTCAGGCTTAATGTCCAGCTGATAAAAAACGTAGTTGTGAAAGAATCAAATGTGACGATCGTTAAAAATATAGTAATTATAGCCCTAAACTTCGTTCCATAGGCCTCGTCCATAAACTTCCCTGTGCTCGCTTAGACTTATACGGTCAAGTAGTCCTATTAAACGTCACACTAAAAGAGTATACTATAACATTATACAAAATTACATCAGTTAGGACTTGGTCATTATCTGATATTAATGCATATTGATCTAGGTTGTCCTAGAAATTGTATATGACCTCCAATAAATTGTATGATTCTATGTAAAAGTTTTAAATTTCATCTGGTTTTATTAATAATTACTTATTTTGCCCTGACTTTCTCTGTCAATCAGTTGGTTGCTATGGGACGCGCAACAGCAACACAATTAAAAGAATTAGGTTTGACTGTTTCAGCGGTTGCCTCATCACCTAAACCGGAAAGTCTACTAACAGCACTAAAGCAGTTAAAATGATGTTTATAGTCATCAGTAAAGAAACTTTTTATCTTTTCAAATCCTAACTCTTTGTTGCTTTTAATATTCTTTGACTTATTTGTATTTATTTATTCCCAATCATTTCCAATACCAAGGAAATTTTATTGCCTTTTGGGGATAGTACAGGTAGTAGACACTATTTATTCAAGCTGCATTGATTATGTTTTTTTTCTTCAAAGAATATATTTATGTGCTTTTTTTATTTTACAAAAATTGTGCCTTGTTTACTTATTTATATCTTTATTTGTAATTTGTGAATTATACAATCTATTTATTTGTGTAAACTAATAATGAGCTCAATTCTATGGATTGTTGATATTATTTTTTATGCAATGCATTTGAAATTATTATTTTAAATAAATTTAATGTTCTACAGAATATGTTCTTCTTCAGGGAATGATATTATCTCCAACTTAGTGTAAAAATATGTAAAATTCAAATGACGTTAGAATTTGAGTATTTGCTGAATTTATCACGTGAAAAGATTCTACCATCAAGTATTTTATGACCTTGGATGTCTGATTTTTCGATCACACGACTTATCTACCAATCCGAATACGACTTATACGAATCTTCACACTAGGCCAACCAATGACGTCCAACCGGTGTGGGCAGTTTAGCGTCCTTATTGGTCCTATGTCCTACGAGCCCTTCCACTTGAGTCCAGAATACAATACCAGCTTCCGAATCAGAGCAGATCGTTTATTTCAGGCATACTTGGTTTATATATCAATCACACAGTCCGCAACGTACCATAAAATAGGAAATAATATTTGTACACAAATAAGCCCAAAAAGTGGCTGTGAATGTGGGAGGCAGTAGTTAATAAACTGAACATAACTTAAGAACCGTAAATCGTACAATAATAAATTATAGGTCAAAATAAAGCTTGTCATAAGAGGGATATAAATATACATAATGTAATTGCTGAATAGTTATACAATAAGAATATTTATAGAATATTAGTCCATGAATAGTCCTCGGAAGTTACCTGTAATTTAATCTCCACTCGGATATAACAAAGTATCTAGTAGTCTTTGAGTAATCAAAAATGGTGGTTTAAATTCAAGTGTATTTGTTTAACTAAACTTGTTTAGGGTATTTTAAACAAAACAGAATGAAATCATTCAATATATAATGTGGATTTGGTTTCCAATGTTAAAATTCCATTGGAGTAGTTAGATCATATCATTCAATAGGATGGGGAAAACTTCCAAATAAACATAAACTTCCGTAGCGATAATAATTAAATGTTAGTTTCATTTAACAACTAATTATTGCTTAATTGAACAGTTGCAGTGTTATCAGTTCCAGTGATGAAAGTCAGATTAAAACTGTTGTTTTCTAATTTTCGAATAATTAGAAGGATGGGAACTCTTAATCACACTTAATTGGAAGAATCATGATCAATAAAATATTACTGTTTTATTATATACAACTCCAGTCATTCTCAAGTTACAGTTCCAGAAAATTTCATTGTTTATTGTGGATATTCGCTCGCAGACTAATTACTAGTAGTAGACGTATATTTTTTAAGGAGTGGATATTTTAATTAATGAATTTAGATAGTTACATTCTGTCTAAAATTACAAAATGATAATGATGACTAATGGTAAGATCGTGTAAGCTTACTAAAAACTGGAAAAGACTAATTTGAATTACCGAAAATATTCTGATCACAATGACCGTCACTAAGTATGTTATATGCTGCTTCAGTGATGTATCAGTTGATGTTTTTTTCTATCAGTTATTACAAACTCTAGACTGCTTACTAATATTCGTTGTAGACTGATTAAATCTTCAAAATCAAACAGAAAATTCCTTTTTAGACGATTAATTAAAGCGGATACGATAGATATTCGCCCATTTCATTTCATATTGATTATAATTCATCCTGAACTGACTGAATATCGAAAATATCATTATGGTATAAAAAAAAGTATCTTTCTTGTTACAAGATCTTTATGTCTGTAGATTATCCGACCATATAAAAGTTTGTAAATATGTGCTCCTTTGAGTGCTGACAAATCTGTATTGTTTCGTAGTACCAATATTTTCAGTAATCAGAATTAATGCTAAGATAATTAATTTCGTCAGTAGCATTTATTTGTAGACTTTCGTTGTTGTGTTAGACAGATTATTCACAATTCAATAGAAAAGAACTTCATCTACGTTGGTCAAGCTTCAAAAGATTTTCAGTCACATTATTCTAATGTTTGTTGCTAAAGGAACGTATAAAAAAAGTATAAAACTCTAATTCTAGGAATTAAATTAGTTAATGGAAAATTCTTGAATTAATAAACTGTCAATTGATCAATAAGTACTAATCAGTATTATAGTCTTTAATACTGATCAAAATTTATTGACCAAGTTCCAGTGTGAACACTAGTCTAAACGATTTGATGTCGAACAATGATTATTTCTCTGATTGGGACACTGTGTGACTTGGGTGAAAATCCCATAGGGAGTATTAGTTCTTTTGAGATTTGCTAATGATTATCAACCATCATGAAACTAATTGGCCATCTCATCCATCACTTGCTATTTAACACCAATGAATCGAAGCTTCTTTAGAAGGAAATTATTTAAGTTAACGAAGATTACTACTTCTGCTTGTAAGGGCTTATTATTTGTGACAGCTGATCATTTAGTCAATCTCTAGTTACTATTTACGCAAGAGTAATGGAAAATGACATTCGAAATGATGCATTTTCAAACTTTTTTACTACATAGAGGTGTTCAATGGACTTGAAAATAATGTTACATGTTTGAAACGCATTCCTTCACAATTACATGTACGGACATATTCGCATACATTGAAATTCATTTTTACCTGTAATTATATATCAACATTTAGGTTGTATATGAACACAAACATATTGTAAGTATTCATTTTTTTCAACGGAAGCGTTATTAACTTTACTGACAGTTTTAGCTTAAAAGGTCAACAAACAGAATACAAAAATATTTTCGATCAGTGACCATGAACAGTGTTTATATTGACCAATTTTTACAACTGAACAAATCTATCGAAGTTTGTAACATGGTGATTAAGATAATGTGGATAGAATGCATATTTCCTTATTCGATTTCACGAACATATTTATTGATTTCCTATCTATCCCTTTTTTTCCCCCAAAAAATATCATTTTGATTGGTTTATTATTTCATCAATACATTATCCCAACATTTGACATGTTCTACATCAAAATTTCTTTCGCTTTTCAATAAATGCAATTAAAATTATACTAGTCAATCAATATAGTGCTAAACAATTCGCTACAGTTAGTTATTAGTTATTGGTAACTTTGTCAACAAGACTATATGGATAAAATCTCAGTTAGAGTCGGTTTTCATTGACATAGTCAATAGTTTACGATAGGGTAGTTGCAAGCATGTGATTGAGTTATTTTAGTTTTTATCCATGGAATGGTTTTAAATTATTGTCCATAACGTTCAAACAGACTTGATGTCATCCAATAAAGTTTCACTAACTAAATAAAGAATATTGAGTTATATAAAACTACGGGATTAAGAACAACGATAAATAATACATGATTGATGTACATGCAGCTCAGTGGTTAGGGTGTCCAACTTTCGGTCACAACGCACCGGATCGGATATTTTCCCATCAACTTCACTTTAGATAAACAGGTAGTTTCAATAGTTTTCACATTTAAAGTGTAGCTGGAAGCCAAGTACACGAGTCCATTCCTAGAGAATCAGTTATATGCGAATAATAAAAAAATAATTGTTTCTTAATGAGTATTTCTTGAGTTCCATGAAAGCATTATTGATGGTAACGTCAGTGTTCTTATTTATCTTATTCTACAATTTTAATTTCATAACACCAAGAATGCAAAGAACAGGGCTGAAACGTATCTCACATTAACATATAAAATAAGTAATGCCTACTTAGCCGACGATTAACAAACAAAAACCACGCTTAATAGAAACGAAAAGGCATAGACCTTGTAAATTGGCGTTCACTGACATATTAAAAAAATGGACATCCACTTGGAGAAAATGCTGTCTCAAATAACTAATTTAAATTATCATTCATATCCAGATTTAACTTAACGAACTCCAATTGTTAACGTAAAACACACTTGATCATAATCTTGCTGACTCAAAATGCTCAACCAACTACTGTAAAGAAACAGATAAGTTAACTGTTACCACTCAAATTCAAATAGATCGGAAAACATTGTTCTCCGTGATTAGACTAATGGTAAGGAAGTATTTGATTACATTACTCAGATTGTAATGTATGTATCGAAATTGTGTTAGGTATGCACTGAATCTACAGTAATGAGCAAACATTTAAAAGAACATAGTCAGAACGGCATCACAATCATATTGGTACAATAGAGAAATGGTAAAAAAAAGTGTTCATATTCAGTGTAAAAATTCAGTAAAAGGTATTTCAAGTTGGTCTTCAATAGTTATTATAATTGTGGGTTAAGATGCACATATTTACCCTTTACTAACTTTACACTAACGTATTAAATGAATTTGGACAGTAATTATACAAACTATAGGAAGATACAATCTCACTGTTGGGTTCAATAGTGTGGAATATTTAAGATTTTGTTGTTGATGTTTGAGAAATGAAGATTTTAAGTACCATATCTCACTAATAACTTGATTAGTGTATGTCGACTTACGTTCAAAGATTATCTCATTGATCTTCCTCAAGTAGTTATTACAAATGATGTCATTATTTCAATATTAAGTACATACATACTACTGACAATTTAAGTAACGTCCCGTATATTTTCCTTATGCATCTAATTTATATTTAGTATATTAACACACTAATTTTGTTTCGTAATAACTTTTTCATTATTTTTGAGATTGATATGTTTTTAGTCCACCAAAGTGACATACAAGAAACATGGTAGCAAATGTATTTTTTTAACACATAAATGGATCATGTCCACTACAAGTAGTGAGGAATTATGTAATAATTTTAAAATACTATAGAATAACATCACTGAAGCTCTCGTCGTTTCGTAACAAAATCAATTATCCTGACAGCACAATTCGTAGTGACTTTTATTTTGTTATTGTTTATTTCAATCTGAATGTGTATAATATTATTTATGACATATCATTGGTGTCCGCGTGACTATCGTAACCAATGGTTGGAGAATCTTGGTGACATGGCTCAGAATCGATCACAATGGCGTCGGTATATACACTCTCTGTCTTCCCTTAAACTAAGAAACTTAAATCGCTTCATATCTTTCTTTCTACGAACTAATTCTTTCTTCCTGTACTATATCCTTATATGCAATCTTTCTTTTATATATTACCACCACTGAATTAACGACTTTTATGAACCCGGTGTTCATCTTATTGCGTTAATGAGGTACGGCAACTTGAACCGATGCATATATGTGCCTAGTTCTACGTTGTAGCTGACTGACTGATGACATATCATGAAAAAATAACCAACATAAGTTATTTATGCCATCTATTAATATCTATTTATTTATGTATATATGACTGAGAACAGTTATGTGAGAACCTGTTGGATTACAATGTACTAGTTTGATTCCAAAGTTATTGTGATCTTAATTAAATTCAGTGCATACATTTCAATTCATTATAGGCTTAATGATATTATGATTTACTGTTTGGAATAAGACTATAGAGACAAACCAACTAGACTTAAGATAATACCTCCGAAATTTGTGCTCAAAATTTATTCATTCGTTTGGCTATACAGTGTTCGTGAATTACAACAGATGAAAACTTTAATCCTAGTTACTTATGTTGACTCTGATATGATGGAAAGAAAAATCAATTTTCGATTGACTTACTCATTATGAATTTTGTTTTGATTCAATGTAATGATTACTTAATGTAGTATTTCTTTTCTCTTCTCGCATGATATTTTATTCTGTATGATATACGATATTCTTGTATTCCATTGACATGAACTATGCTCAGTATGTGATTTGTTATAACTCTAGGTATTTTTCCTATATGTGATTTCATCCTAATTATGAATGAAAATGGGTGTACAATCAATATATAAATGAGTGTATTTTTGACTAGGGTCGTCGTGTTTTTTGGGGTTAATAAATCTTCACTTATACCAGTCTTTGTGTTTTTACTTTCGCGTCGTGAGAATTGCAGAGGTCCCTCGTTCTGAGTATAAGTGATAAGCGTTTCTGACATAACAATCAGAGACAACCAGACACAAAAAGTAGCATTAAAAGAGCCAAGACAATAAGTATTCAAACGACAAGTTATAACAGACTCCTAACTTAAACTCTTAATACATAACCTTATTTTGAATTAGAGAAGCGGTTGACATATCACTTGGTCACTTTTAGCATCAGCGAAGTTCATCTGTATACTTTAATTTCCACTATTCATATATATATCATATATCGCTCATCACAATAAAATGTCATACATATCTCGTACATGTTTATTTGCATATGATCTTAGATGGTTGTACATTTTGTATTGGTTCATAAAATGGAAGAAAACAATTAAAAGATACAAGTCAATTTTCTTTTTTCAAAATAAAGAAAAACCAAATACAAGATCATGATTTTTTTTAAATAAAAGAAAGAAAAGAAGAAAAAGAAAGGAAAGACTATAAAATAGGATATTGCAAACAATTCAAAGCATCTATATGAATGAAAGTACATTGCTGAACGATTATTATCTGGAAAAAACAAACAAGCAAAATACATTAGAATCCAGTTACTTTTAATGCATATACAAACAAATTAGGAAAGAAATGCTCATTATTACTGTCATTATTATTATTGTTATTATTTGGATTGTGATAATTGAATAGGATAGTATAATTTCTCTCCTTCTTTTAAATCTAAACAAAAAATGAATTATACACATATGAATTAATTATATGACTTATTTATTCTTTCTTCGAATAGAATTAAGGGAACCAGGTAAAAAGAGAAAATATTTTCAACAGTTGAGATTGAAGATAGACCATCATGGAAAATCTGGAAGCACTGGACGACCATTTCGTCGTAGTATGGGACTCTTCAGCAGTGAGCGGCCACAATTCCGCGCGCAGGACTCGAACCCACGCGACAAAGCTTAACCTCTAGACCAATGAGTTGGTCAGCATCCAATGATGTTAATGTCTAACTTCAACTAATCCACAAAATTGAGCGACACATCCATCATTGTTTTCAGTGATTTACTATCTCACAACAGACCCGGTTGAACTCCGCTGGTCATTGCTTCTCACTAGAACTCTAGGAAATACATCTTGAAGCCAGTTACTAGTGAGCATATGTTGATTAATATCAGAAGGGTTTTTGTAGATATTATAGTAATTTTAATAGGTGAGATCATGAGTCAATTGAAGCTAGACTACCAAGAGTCCCACAATAGAATGAAACGGCCGTCTAAGGTAATACCAGTCTAATCACTAATTATACAACTGAAAATTAGAATTATTACACATAGGTATGAAAGTATGACTTAGTTCAAAATTAAATGCGGAAGATAATTATTTGATGAAAACGTTAAGTTAAAAACATTCAAAAATGAAGGTTTCTGTTACATCCGAAAAAAACAATAAATGAATGGTAGCTGTCAGGACTTATTTATGGACTATTATTACACACGTTCTTATTAAATAATTATTATAAGATTGACTATTCTTAAGTTGTCCTCAATCTATTAGTTATACACTCACAGCCACTTTCGGTTTGATCTTGTATTATTGTTATTATCTAGTTTGTGGTATGATGCGGTCTGGTTTGCTTTTATATAAATCAAGTATGTCTGAAATATGTGATTCATACAGAAGATGAGATTGTATTCTGGACTCAAGCGGGTAGGGATAGACAAGAGCCAATAAAGACTCTATTGAGATATAGACAGCTGGTACTGGTTAACACGTTATTAGTTTGGCACAGTGCCAATGTCATATTAGGTCGGTATCCCAGTTGACGATCTAGTCACGTGATATTGACGAGCCATAAGAACATAACAGTTTCAGTTTACTATTCTTCTACATCATTGACAAATATAAAGAAAGTTTTCTAATATTCAAGTAAGCTACATAGACACAAACATAAAAAATTTATCCCTGACAAGAGAATTAAAGTTCCTGGTATTTAGTACTTAGCAATGTTGTTGATGTACAGAGCGAAGAAGTACTAAACGAGATCAAAACAACTGTCTAGTTTATCTTAGTTCTCGAGTTCAACACAATTTTTCAATTTAATAGCTTTGTTAGAAACATTAAATATTGAATTTCAATAAAAAATATAACTTACCTCTGGTATTATTATTATTATTATTATATCTTGAAAATATAAATTATTCACTTTGTTTTAATAGATTCCTTCTGATAAGCACACCCTTACAATAGTTTTCTAATTGTCTAGGATTAGGCCATTCATCATTGTCAACACTATTATATTGATTCAGATTTTTCTTAGGTCTATTTGTTATATAGTCAGGAATTAATCTAAGGTTTTCTTTGTAGGTGATAACAACTTTACTTGAACTGGTTAATGAACTTGTTTCATCATCTTGATCAGCTGAAGGTGTTTTTTTACAACCTATAATATTGATCAAAAGTTATTTACTAAATATTTGTAAATTATCTTATTTAGTATGCCAATACAACTTAGAACAGATTAATGCATCTATTTACATAATGGTATAATGTTAAAACAGTTTAGTTGTGAAAATATGAAAAGAATACTGCAAATTATCATGTCACAATTCTTGAATACTTGAAACTGTAATTTTAAAAAATATTGAATTATCCTGCCCTTCTAAATTGCATTACAAAACCTTTTCACTTAAAACAAGATCTATCTTATTCAATGTTTAAGAATCTTCAAATTAGTGATATAAATCCATGTGACGGAAATTGGTGTCCAGTATTTTAAATGATTTTATTTAGCAGGTGAAATACTAACACTTGAATTATCTACATTGTTTATATAAATAAACGTCTAAGAAAAGCTTATAAACTGGTTTGAAAATATTTTAAATTATAAAGTACAGGTTTTGATGAAGTTTTGTTCTCTAAGCTGGATGGTATGGTCGTGGAGCTTTCATCGTTCTACTGAATGACATCATCAGCACAAACTTCAAATAGAAGTTGAGTGTCCGAATTTCTCTATATATGGCTCACAGCTTGTCCTGCAGACCTCGATGTTGATTGGTTCTTGATTACCTTGAACCTGTCATTGTTTACATCTTTATTTTGGTTGTATATTCCATTGGTTTGATTTGACAAGTTTAAGGTCAACAAGAACCAATCAACATCGAGGTCTGCAGAACAAGCTGTGAGCCATATGTGGAGTAATTCGAACACCTCTACCTGAAGTTTATGCTGATGATGTCGTTCAGAAGAACAGTGAAAGCTCCATGATCAGAACATTCAGCTCAGGGAAAGAAACTCAATCAAAATCATCCACCTGAGCTACAAATCTTCGCCACCATTTTAAAGCATAAGTTTTCTAACTATAAATAAAAGGACTTAATATTGTGCAGCTATTATACGACATTGGAACATAGAGATTAAGTTTCAGTGAATAACTCATATTAAACAAGGATCATATCAGAGATCGCCTTCATATTTAATGAGATTATTTATGAACATGTATCAAGATATTAGTCAGTCAGTAACAACGTAGAACTTCGTACGTACGTACATCAGTTCGAGTTTCCATACCACAATAGCACAAGTATCAAGATATGCTCTTTCTGTAAACGAAATTCTTAGTAAATTATCAAACAAATTCATGTTTGAAGCAAGTTAAATCATAAAAGCTTCTAGTGTCTTACAAACTACTAATATTGTTCACATCACTGATTTACTAGTTTCATACAACATACTACTCATTAACAGTTTAGGAGTAAACTTTATTACAATTGCATTAAAGAAGACTAAGCTGATGTTAAATAATATGTGAAATGTAAATTTCAATTTGAAATAAAAAAACAACTTCATATATGGAGTCATTTCTTCCATAATCTTGTCACATTCTAGAACCCACATATTAAAGTGTAATTTTCATTAGAACATTTATCCAAGTCTTTAATTACTATCATGTGTAATAGATCATTAAGAAATGAATTATTATCCTCTTAACTAATTTGATATGAATGATAAGGATTCATTTTTTTAAAGTAGACTTATTATATGGGAGAGGAAGAAAAGTAACGTCTATTTAGAACATATTAACAGTTATTCATTTAAATATTAATAATATAATCAGAAGGGGTTTTGTGGAGATTTTAGGAGTTTCAATAGTTGAAATCATGAGTCGATTTGAAGATAGACCAACAGGAGTCCCATAGTAGGACGAAACGGCCATCCAATGCTTCCAGATTTTCCATGATGGTCTAGCTTCAGTTGACTCATGATTTCAATTATTGAAATTAATAATATAAGTTAAGGGACAATGAACTTTTGTTACTATGGCTAGTAACTGTATAAAGATAGACGAATGAAAAATTGCAGTATCTAAACAGTTCAAACTATTTTATTATCTAGTAATAATGTAAAAAGGTTGTTTGAAATGTAAAATGAATGTCTTTTGTTTTTAATAACATATAATATAGAAAAATTGATGGAATAACGATGAATTCACTTCGAGGTTCTATCCAGGCTGATTTTTTTTGTTGTTGTTGAGAAACTAGGAAAAGGACTTCTCAAAGTGGTTATCGATAAATTTAACTATTATTATCGTTACATTGATGATACTTTCATTATCGTTGATTAGAAAAATCGAAACTTAGAACTCTTAGAGCTATTTAACAATAAACATTCAGCAATCAAATTTACATGTGAAGAGGAACTTGATAATAAACATTTCCTTGACGTTTTGTTAAACAGAAAAGAAAGTGGTTCCATCAGTAGAAGTGTGTGTAGGAAATGTTTTTCAGTAAAATAGTACACAAATTGCCTGAGATTTGTACCCATTCATTATATGAGAAACCTAGTTAGATGTCTTTCAAGTAGAGCTAGGAAGATATGCTCAGTCGATACTATAAACAAGAAACTAGAGCTTATTCATAATATATTGATTAAAATGGGTTGCCCACAAGGTTTCCTGAAGAAACACTTACATATAACAAACAGGAAAGTAGCATCATCAACGGATAGTAAAAACCCTCTTCCTGAAGCTGAAATGCGACAGAGATATATCTGGTGATGTGCTACGGGATAGACTGACTAGAGTTGTGAGGAGAACGTTTAATGCAGATAACCTCTGTCTCGATTCGATCTATAGCGACTTCTCGACTAAATGATAAGTTACCTGGTTCTGCTTCAACTAAGTGTATCTACGAACTCAGCTGCTTCTGTGAAGAAAGGTACATTGGGCTCACTACAAGACAACCGATTTAGAGAACACCTATTCATTGTTATGATAGGGTAGAATCAAAACAATATGTAGCCCCGTTCTGTCACACTTGATCGGTAGCGGCTAGGTAGTAGACATAAATAAATCTTTTTGAGTAATTTATTGTATTCCTACCAATTCTCCTTATGGGGTTCGATCCTATCTCTTACACATAGCAGAAGCTATAGGAATTCGAGTCCAAGTCTATGTAATCATAAGAAATTTGTAACAGATTTATCCCTCCCTTGGCCTTAATAAGTGGTTTTATTTATTATTATTTTAAATACTCATTCTTCGTTTATTTTTGTTCACTCTTTCCCATTCTATTCTTCTCTCAAAGATACGCTTCACAGTCCAATTATCTGAACACTTCTTTCTACGTAATCTTATAATCTTTATGAATGTTATTTCGGTGTCTACATTTTTCTAATCATTGACCTATTTTGCATTATGTTACATTGATTCAAGCCTTTATTATTCTTATCACAACTAGTACACCCGTCATCACACTATCAATCTGTACTTTTCATTTACTTATGTAATCTATTCCCCTGTTATCATTGACTTATAAACTGCCTTGATTGATTTAATAATTTCCTATATACATATAAATAATACTGTATATTAGAGTTAAGCCTGATGAAGATCTAATCGAAAACAATATTGTTCGTTTATATCTATCTTGTCCTAAATGATTTCCACTAATAATATCAATTCATATATACTTTAAAGAAATATGTTTAATAAATAATTATGCTCAATACTTACACTGTCGAATCTTTGAATGAATCACTTTGACACGTAAACAATACAATATAAGTTTGATAATAGCTGTGATACTAGAAAAAGGTACCGGTAGAACTGGTCTATTACTGTATTCCAATACTATTGAAAATATATTAAATTTCCATAATTCAATTGAATTCTCTTCAATTTTTTCAAATACATTACTGATTTCAAAAATAGTAAAGGGAAAAACACAAAATAAAGCGATGAATATGAAATTATTTGTGATATATATGTATATTCGAAGATAGATTTTGAATGATAACAGACCATTTTTATGGAGTTTTGTTCTTTGAGCTGGATGGTTTGGTCTTCACCATCTCCAACATCTTGATAACAGACCATCGTAAGATGGGAGGTTTGACTACTTTAAAATTTTATGTTCAGTGGCAATTAAATGAAACATTAAATGAAAACAAACATTCAGTTACAAATACATTTTTCCTCTTTGAATTCATTCCATTATCTTGTTTATTTATCTTGATTTTATGTATGCTGTGACATTTTTAATTCACATCATATATGAAAATTCTATTTTTTGTTTTCTTAAAATTCACGGACCATAGAAATTGTTCCTCATACCACTTACGTATATACACAATCTGTTATCTGAACACATTTCGATTCACACCACGTATCTCTTATGCACTAATGCAAATACCTACTTTCAACATTATTAACGTTGACTGGATGACCTATTCAGTATACAGTGAACCGGAGAACCATGTACCTATTTATATTTGATCATTTTGATGTTTGATTACATTTCTTTGAAAAAGCTTGAACCAAATTGACTTCAAATTCTTTCGCTGAGATTTTACAAATACACTTTTCCTCTTTAAACACTTAGGAATATCAAAATATCACACGTTCTATAAGAATTGATAAAAATATAAGCTATTTAAACTTAGTAAGTAGTATATTTCGATATACAAAAGAATAAAACACAGAAAGAATGGAATTGAAAATAATAAACCATATCATAAAATATGAACGACCGCAATCAGAGTTAAGAAAATAAACCAATGGGATCTGAAAGTGCAAGATTTTAAACTTCATAGGATCACATATGCGCATTGTTGAAGAATACTATACTAGGACTAAACAGTTGTCCAATGCTTCATCATATACAATGATTATTTAAGAACAGCTCGTAATGAAAACTATCGGAAAACTCCATTTATTTTGCTTACAATAGATTACAGTTTTGATTGAAATGATAATAGATTTTAATTAGATCAAAGATGAAGATAACTTAAACGAATTTTTCGTCAATATTTGAGATAATAGTTAGACAGAAATTTGGTGCCGAGTATTATTTGAGAGAAATATATTTGAAATAATCTTAGTGAGTAAAACTTAAATAATTCCAATGTTTCATACACAAACGTATCTGAACATCATCAGGGTAATAATCAAAATCAAATTTATCAAAGAATTGTTGGAACTGTTTAAAGATTCCCATCATATTAAAGGATATAGCAACTCACGTGGAATTGAGTTTATTATCAAGCTGTACAATCGTATATATATATGAAAAAATTTTTGTTTTTTGTAAAAGTTCTTATTCCGTGAGGAAATGTGGACACAATTAACCATGACGTAATAAAAAGGTTATAATACTAGATTACGTAATACGAATAATAACAATAGATTTAGTGAATATAATAACGCGGTTAAACTGCGAATAACCTTCACTAGTAGGAACTTATTTTCCGTATCCATAAAAGATAAGCTTCCGTGTCTGGTCGCCTCTATGTGCATCTACCACCTGCTCTTGTGGAGCAAGGTAAATTGGCCGTAGCCAGTGCTCGCTTTCAACTCGGATACGGGAACATATCCCAGCTTGGTTCTATAAGGGTGAAAGGAAAGCAGTTAGGAGTTCTATACTTGAACACCTAATCGACTATAACCATTCTACAGATCCACAATTTGATTTAAAGGTTGTTTATATGATTCGTTCAAATCTACCCAGATTTCTTCGTATCCAACTCTTAAAAATAACCGAAGCTCTTACCATCCAAGAGCTTAAACCAGAACTATGCGTACGTCTTATCGTTACCTTGGCCTTAATAGTTTTGATTATCCAATTATTATAATAATAATAATTATTATTATTACTGCATTCCCCCTTTACTTATGTCTTATATTCTCATTATTTTTATTCGTAAATACGTATCATATCGCCTTATTTATTTCTTACACCTCTATGACCTTTAATTATTATAACAAAAGCATTTTAACCATCCTATTATATTCACTAAATCTATCGTTGTTATTCATATTACATAATCTAGAATTATAATCTTTTTATTACGTCATCTTGGTTAGTTGTGTTCACATTTCCTCACGGAATTAGTACTTTTACAAAAAACAAAAAAATTTTCATATATATACGATTGTACAGCTTGATAATAAATTCGTTGAAAAAAGAGATCCCTTCGTTGAACTTCGTGTTTTAATTTTAATGTTTAAATGGGAATTATCTGTGACTTGAGTTTGTTCACATTTAATTCGGTTAAGTCATTTTGTTAACTTATTAACGATCTGAGTCATCTGTACAACAACAACAACTTATCTATATCATTGTATCTTCATTATTGTTGCGATTGTATGAACATGTATGCTTGAGTATTGCTTACTGCCTACGCATTTATTCACGCTGCTAGCCTTACTACTAACCACTCAATTGATTCGATGATTCATTCATTTCACTATGTATATATGTGTCCATGTCATTCATGTTCGTTGCTCTCTCTCTCGCTTACTCGTACTCATATTCGCTGACTCACTCGCTTGCCTGCTTGCCTTTCGGCACAACTCTTTCATGCTTGTTCAACGCACCTGTAATTTTGGATATCTATGTGTGGTCCAATAATAAACGTAATCAACACTTCGTATTCGCCTTCTGATTAATATACCGTTGGGGCGTTATCTAGTAACGGTTATCAAGACGAACTGTTAAAGGATTATATTGAATACCGACCACCACAAAGGAATTATTTAAATTTTAATCGCATATTATTTTCACAAACAAAATGGAAGATCATTATCTATAAAAAGGCCTTTACTAAATAGTCGAGTACAAACAACATACTTTGATTTCATCACATCATTTGTACGTGATTCTATGAAATACACTACAGCGAAACAGATACAAAGAGCTGACAGCATTTATTTTCTGGAAATTATTTTGTATCTTTAAAGTAATGCTAATCATTAGCATCATCATCATATGAAAAGATATTAAGTGCAAAACTATTGAAAGTCAAATAAATTGGTAGGTAATACATGTTTCGTCCTAAAACACTACAATAACAATTACAATCCCAACCCAAAGTTTATATTGATATCACGAATGGAACAATGTTAGACTACCATCGAAAGTCTCGGACGGCCGTTTCGTTCCAGTATGGGGCACCTCAGCAGTGTGCATCCACGATCCCTCACATGGGACTTGGACCCAGGACCCTCGGTGTAGCGCACGAACGCCTAATCAGTAGACCGATGGGCCGACATTCACAAGTGTTAACGTCCAACTCCAACCAATCCAAGATATTGCGTGACCGTCCTTCTTTATCTTCAGTGAGTAACTGTCTCATAACAGACACGGTTGAACTCTATCAGTCATGATTTCCGCCAGAACTCCAGGAGATTTATCTTGAAGCTAGTCACTAGTGAGCACATGGTAATTATTACTATAGAGTTGTGAAGATTGCTGAGTTTCGATTTATATCATGATTAGATCAATGTTAGACTACCATTGAAAACCTAGTGGTTTAACATTGATCCATTCATGATATCAATCTAAACTCAGCAATCTCTACAATCCTATGCTGATAAAGTTTATATCTCAAATAGATCAAGGTACTATGTGCTTCTATGTTTTCTTTTAATGTATATGGTTGAATTAAGAAGCTATCAATGTCATAGTGGATAAAATAATTAGTGTCTACTTCATGTGTTTATCGATACACTTGTAGACTATAGAACCAATCGTATAGCTACATCTGATCGTATAGAGTGACACAGTCTTAAACGGACGAAGTACAGTAAATAAAAAACAATAAAGTTTTCAGATTTTTCATCATCTTATATCGTTTATTACTGTGAATTAATTGTATATAAATTAGTCTATAAAAACAAATCGATGAGAACATAACTTACCTGAAAATTGCAATTAACAGATTGATTAATAAAATCCCAGCAATCATTAAATAAACAGCTAAAAATAATGGACTTAAATAATTAGACATTGGACATTCCGAATTCAATACACCAGTCGCTGTACAACTTTCATTTTCAGCTATATTTAAACAAAATAATAAATAATTAAAGATTAAATACATATGCAACCAAATACAAAATGTTATCAGAAAAATGGGGGGACTATAGGAAAATCTATTAAAGTCAGATAGTATTTTGTGTTGCACAGATTATATAACAAATTAGTGGGAAATATAACACTTATGGGATCATCACTAGTAAGGGGACAATAACAGAAAAAAAATATACTGATTGGTTTGAGTTATATCAGTTCAAGATAAGAAAAATATACACACACTGTGAAGATTAAGAAATCATCGAAAGGTTATGAAGATATAACTGAATGCGCCCAGATAATTGTAATCGACATAGATTCGCTAGGTAGTGTCTTTGATTTCCCATTTAAAAATATACAGCAATAAGGTGCAATAACTGTCTGATCCAGTCTACTTAAACATACAATATAGATAATGTAAGATGAACAGTAGAATCAGAAAACAGTATAATAAATATATTTTTTGTTATATCCCAATGAATAGAAAGTTGTATTTCCTACGTTTCATGACTTAATGTAACTCGATTCTTCAGAGCAAGCAAATAAGTGAATTAAGCTGACACAAGTTTAAATAATACAAAAGAGGCAATACAGAATATTTCTATTATTATTAATGGTTTTGTTCAATATTATATTTTTGGTACAAGGTATTTCAACAAGTTTCTTTTATAAAACAGAAAAAGAGGTGAAAGAAACTGGTAACAACATACATATACATAAGTTAAGTAAATAAACTACCTGGAATTAAATGAAATGGGTTTTATTTTTCCTTAGAGAAGATTTGGACCGGCACAACTTTTTCAATTAGAAACATGTGTAAGATGAGAAGCTATTGACTTGATCACTTCTAACAACCTGTTCGTCACATAGTATATTTACTAGATAAGGTATTGTAGAGCTTTTATACCTTTGCTTGAGTGAATAGATTCTAATGTGTCGATATCTCGTTCTACCAGAAGATATACAAGGAGAAGGATATGAATGGATTGGATGGTTCTTATCTGATAAGATAACACTGGCCAGGAGTTTGAAAGACTTTAGATGTCTATCCAAAAACATATAAATAATGAACCCAAAAAAATTTACCATAGACCTTACTAACTGCCTTCAGCACTCCCCGCAAAGTCTTTTCTCAAAATCCCGGGAACAATAATAAAATACAGTAAAGAATGATAAGTGATATGCAAGAATTGACAAATTGTGAGAGTAAATGTCGAGTAATCTCAAAAAAGGAAGATTATTAAACAGCAGGATGTTTATTATATTCTCTTTTTCTCTTAGTTTGTCTTATTCTGAGGTAATGATTTTGTTGGTTGCTATTCTGAAATGACTCACGACTAGGGAAATTTTTGCACTGGATGGAAACAGTGCAGTTGCGTTAACATTTTATAAACTGTTATAAAGTAGAAGCATGTTTCCACTTCTAGTTGATACAAACAAATAATATAATTATTCAGAAATAAGTTCAGTTTAGACGTATTTTGCGACACCGTATTTATGTATTAAGATTAGAGAATCAGCATGACATTAAATATTGGCTTGCATCGTTTACACTACTTTTAATTTGATAGTAACTCATGCTTTACAACTAAAAACAATCATGTTAAATGCCAGTAAAGAAATGATACACTCAAAAAATAATTTTTACTGAAGGAATCTTAGTAAATGGTATGAACTGCCTGAAACTACTTAGCAAACTGTTAAAAACAAATCTAAATTATTTACAACGACTTTCGATCTGATAATTCCTAATGAATGTTTTATTTTAAGTTACTGTAAGTTAATTTGAAAATAGCTTATGCTACAAACCAACATTAACTACACGAACACTGACGATCAAGGCTAATATATAACTATGTACGGATTTATTTGCTTTGCTTCGCCACATACTAAGTGTGAGAGCTGCTGATACCATTAGGCAATATAGTGTTCGAACCAGGAACTCAACGGAGAGGCTAATGCTTTAACCACTGAACTATTTCTCATTGTGAAACAATGAGCACTGGGACATTTATTTCGTCCCAGTCTTCAACTTGATAGAAGCATACACCAGAAAATTCTACTCAGTGATCCTTCAGGACTGCTCAGTAAGACTAGTGTATGTTGGTTTGTAAATTATCATAACACTACACAAATCTCTCTAAATTTTATCACAAATAATACGGTAAGTGGTGAAACACATTCATTAAAGTGCTGTATATTTCACTATTTAGTCAGATTACTTTCTAAAACAAATTATTCGTAAAATATTCAACAGTCATTCAGCAAACCTTACCAAAAGCATATTCTAACATAATTTCACCATATAAATTCCAGTAAGGATAATAAAATATATCACGTAAGGTTCTCCATGAGAAATTAGCACGATAGGGATAAAGTAATACTTGCTGTGATACACCATAACTAACCAGCACAACGACAAGTATGAATATAAACATTTGCAATTCAATTAGCATACTTCTAACCATAACTAATTTAGGACCCAAACGTGGATGATGTGAATAGAGACTGTAGACTTTTAAATAACAACCAACCACTAGAATAAAAGGAAAAAAAGAGACATAAAATATCCAGAAAAGATAATAAAAAATTATTAATGAATCATAAAATACAGTTAAAACATTTATAAGCATTCGTATCATCAATAGTTGAAATTCAGGACTAGTCTTTATTAGTATAGGGGCTTCGATATGGTCATTTTTTATTAAACAGATAAATTGTGGCTAGTAGTATAATTCAGGGTGTGCTAATAAAGACTGATCGAAATCCAGTTCTAAATATCAACAACGGGACAACTCAAACCTTACTAACAATTAGTACAATTTAATCTTGGATTAATTTGGATTGGGTTATTTATTCTCTGAAGAAGTGGCTTACACTGAGTCACGAAACGTTAAAAAAATTAATTTTTCTACTCATTTGGATATTAAAAACATATTATATTTATTTATAACCATATATTCAATGCTCAATTTATTTGAAATTATCAAGTCGGAACCTTGGTAATGATACCTACATATTGCTAATTTATCTACTCTACTCTGTCGATATAATGAAATCTTCCAAAAAAAATACTAAGGTTATCATTAACTCCATTTTGACAGTCAGTGACTAGTATGATTTAACGACTACGCACAAACTGTATTCAAACCTACAAACCTAATAAAACTACGAACGAGCCATATAGAACTAAAAAAACTCGAATAATCAGACTGTTAGATTGATTGAAAATGATAATGTTAATTATGTTGCATTTCTGTGGTTACATACTACTGACAAGACTTGAATGAGGCAAAATATAAGAACAAGAGATTCCACTAAATTTGGGAAATTTTCATCATTTAATTTCTATGCTTTCTATTTAGCTATTGTTTCAGAATGACTGAATTACTTAAGATAATAGCCAAAAAAAACGTGTTCGCTAACGGATACTTGATACAAGTCAGTTAATTTTATTGAGTTAATATTTTCATGCTTATACATATATCCAAAATGATTAGTCGATATAACTGACAAATGATGAAATACTATAACATTTATTTATTAGTGTATAATATTATAACTGTGAATATCCACTGCTTAAGGTAAAGATGATTTTTTTCAAAGATCCAATGACGATAAATTCTGCTTTTAAACTGAAAGATTTGACTAGTACACAACACATTAGAAATGTTATGCATATAGTCAACATTCAAGGAATATAATGAATGTTATTTAAAATATACGCAAGTTGATTCATTAAATAATCGATAACACATCAGAATATTACTAATATATGAGGTTATTAAAGATTTTCCCAATTGCAGTTAGCTTTTATCATTCATTAGAGAACTAATATAAACTAAAGAGTACTGAACGATTGTTTCGTCAAAGTCATAAACTGTGATCGGTGTGATGTTTAGTACTTGAACATCCGATGATAACTACGTAACCTCGTTTAAGTTCCCCAGAATTCTACTATAACTGAGCCAAAAATGGTAGAGAGGCAGGAAGTGTAAATAGGAGGTTGTACGATAAACAAAGGTATTTGCAGGTTTAAGGGTAGCCTTGACATGCTAGAGGTTCATGAAAACACACTGAATATAGTAGCGAAATAGGTAATCATCCAGTCAGAGTACGAAACCTAAACTTCTGTTGTTCTAGAAATTTCTGGTCAGTTTTTATCAAGCGCTGATAAACGAAGTATTCTCAGATTTTTACAGATTCTGAAGTCTTCTCCGAAGAATTCTAGGACGTTACAAACACGAATAAGAACAACTATGTTGGGAGTGAAACACCTTACCGATAACATAAGTTAGTGATTGTGATATTTTATGTACTTCATGTGACTGAAGATGTGAACAATTAGACCCTGACTCAGTGTGTTCTGAAAGTGTATCCTCGCAGAGAGCTGTGAAATGTTCGGATTCAGTGTATTATGGAGCGAATGGATAACGACTATTAAGGAACTGCAAACTAAAAAGAAATACATAATTAAAACTTCTATGCTTTTTAAAGATTTTCAGTGTTTTATGTCAGGTCGCGAAGAAAACTACAGAAATATTTCTAATGTAAAAATGGTTATATACATACATACATCATGAACTTACATGTTATAACATAGAATGACTTAGCAAGGATGAATGTCGTACTGAAGCCTATGCGTAACGACGCACTAAATAAACCCAAAAAAACTAAACATACATCAGATTTACTCCAATATAAATCGTACCACTGATTGCATAATAGTTCAAATTTACCATCACAAGATTGACAAATCTGGAAGCGAAAAAGTATGTATAAGTTAATATATATGTATACAAAATGAATATACTATATCTGTGAGGTTATCAACATTTTATAGGCTAAAAAATGAAACGGCATACAGTGAAAACTGGAACACAGACAGAGCTCTAAATTAAAACATAAAATCTGTCTATTCTTTACCGTGCACAAATATTCATAGCTACTGGTGTTGTTTAAACCGACTATCAAAACTTTTCATTTAAACCATCCAGTACTACTAAAACTGTGAAGAGATGGATGAATGAAATCGAATATAGTCAGAAAATAATTAAATGAGTAAAATTAAATGAACAAGAGTAGTATATATAGGTAAATCAGTTCAATTAGGAAAATGCAATTACAAAGAACACTTCACTTACGGAAGTTGCTCTTATTTTTGTGAAGTGAAAGAAAATTATAGCAGGACCGCCATTAACACTAATTCTACTCAATATCTGATAGAGTTTCAAGACACTGTGTCGTACTATCCCTAGGGACTCAACTGGTTAGTCGTGATGAATCGATAGCTGTCAGTCCCATATGACTTTTTCAGACACAAGGGTTATGTCATACCCTTGTCACCTCCCCTATTTTTCCAACCAGTGTAAAGGTCGGCAAACAAAGTGCGATGTGGAAGTCGTCAGGAAGATATTCTTAGTACATACTTAAGTCACTGAAAACGGTGCTTCATGGTAACGACACTGAAAATCAATGATGAACCTTAAAATTGCTAACATAATGTTTCTACTAAATGTGAGCAATCCTTCGGAGACAACAATGAACAAACACAAAGAGTCGCATAACATCCTCAACTCGGATAGGCCATGTTTCAAAAGCGTAGCACAGAAGTACATGACTTACATCGTGACAGTGCCATAGATGTTGGAGGTTAACATAAGCTGCTTTGTCCTTCACGTATATCTCTCTCATCACTCAAACTACTACCAGTATTGCACGGCTACCCAGATACACGTACTTCTTGACTACTTCTGAAGGCTCAACAACAAGAGCGGGTGCGGACACATGCTCTTGACAGTCTTCAAAGTTACCTGAGACTTAGAAGGTCTGAAGTAAATGCCAAACCTATGGACACTGATTGCCAATTGAATTGGTGTAAATTACATGTCTTGGTTATTATCGAATAAAAAGGTAAATATAATCCGCATAAGCTAGGTCTAAAAGTATTTCTTCAAGTAACATACCCACACCATCATCACCCATTTCCATCAGAGCTGTTTTCAGAATGTCCTTGATAGCAAAGTTAAAGAGGAATGGTAGGATTAAGCAACCCTCCCTTACCCACTGTTTGAAAAGAACAATGGAGAGAGGTGGTAGTAAACCCTCGCTATATGTAAGGTGTTTGTATACAGGCGAGTCCTTCTTCAATAGTCCTGTTTAACGAACCGAAAGCGAGTCTGATGGTAAGAAACGACAGAATCGCTGGCCTGCAATAAGTCTGATGGTTCTCTAACATTTAATGGAGGGTGCTGATATGGTCGATACATTATCGACCAGAACAAAATTTAGCCTGGTTTTCGCGGGTCAGTATTTAATGAATTTAGAACAATTTGTGAAGTCTGACGGAAGCCAATAGTTTGAACGCAATTGGAAAAAGACTTATTCTCCGGTAGCCGTTGAATCAATGACCTAAAACCTTTTTAGAAATAGGGACCACTAACGCCTCATTCTAAGATGTTGAAAAAATCTCTAGTTTTAGAACTTCTCCAAATAATCCAGTCAGTTCCTAGATGTGAAGTTCGCCACCATCATTATTAAGGGTTGTTAGTCGTCTGGTCTTGTTACGAACTTTACTGTTTATTTAACAACAGAACATGTAATTGACTTTGTTGTCACTAATGCATCCATGCGAAAATAATTTTGACTGAAAATGAGTTATCTATAACAAGAATAGTGAATGAAGTATTGTTGTGTTGTCGAGAAGCTATTGATAGCCTCAAATCACGATAAAATTAAAAAAGATTTATAAGCTCTTTGTATAATGGTGTTAGTATGTAATCCAATCCCATAACATTACTCAGTTTTGTAAACGTTACTACTCTTTATTCTCACAGTTCTCTATTACATTATCGATAGGAGTATCATTCTTGATAGAAAATTCTTTATAACATATAGAAGAATGTTCTTCTTATTTCAACAAGATTCTGCTTGTATTTATAATTTAACGAGAACAACACACACTACCATGATGATTACGCTTTAACCTGTGAATGTATTAAAAAAAAATCATAAAAGTATAAAATTACTAATCATCAAAGCTAACTAACCTGTTGAATCATGTCAATCAATTTCGCAATAAAATACCCGATAACAATAGATTCATGAATTGAAATTTTATCTGGTATTGTTTCAAATAGTAAAGTGTATGAAAAGTGTAACAGGAATATCACATAGACAAGCTAAACATAGTTGTTTGTTTTTCCGAAAAAAAAAAGAAAAAAAAAGGAGAACAAGTCAATGATGATGATGAGTTAAAACAATACAAAAGTAAAAAGTATTCAGGTTACCCAGAAACTTAAACTACATGATATAATATGGAACGAGATACGCTGTGTGTTGAAACAGTTCTGCGATTCGCCAGAATTTGGCTTAAATGTTTGGGGGGGGATATATATATATATCGTTCTAGTTCATCTTTCTACACACATAACCGGTGAGACTTGCGCATAAGAAATGTGTATACCATAATCAGAATAGGACAACAGTACAACAAAGTAGATAAAATTAAGGTCTTGTTCTCCATGCTCACAGTTATTGGTTTTTCTTGATATAATGAGGAAAGAGTTAGGACTATTCAACAGTAAATGACCTGTCGTTATCATATCTTCTAAACTTTCGTTTTTTTTAAAACCATGTATGTCCTTTTCTTTATTATTTTGCAACTGATCGTGTTATTTGATTGGAAACAAACACTTATTATTCTCGTTAATGTACTAGTCTTCAACTTCAAATCATTCAGCAACTTACTTCAGTTGTTTGTTTTTGTGAATAGCTATCACTTAGCCACTAAGTATCATTGTATATCATCTATCGATCAGTACCGGAATCATGGATTTTAGAAATAAAAATTCATTCACCAAATTATAAATTAGAACTCATAACACTTCTGCACAGAATATTATCGTAGGGTTAACTAGGTAAGATCAAATGTTGAATGTTATGCAATCTAGTTAATTCATTGTAGTGTAACTTATTTCACAATATTTTTCAGTACAAAATTTATTAATTAATCAAGCATGATCAGAAGAGACTTTAGGTATGAAAACTAATAAGAGTCATATAAAGTGATTTTGGAAAATGGAATTTTTATTCATTTGATGAAAGAGCTTTCAAAATAAACGCTAAAACCTAAGATTGGGAGTAAGATAAACAGCTAGTGTATCTGTGCTAGTGTGACAGATTCTGAGCTATATCACTCAAGGATTCCAAACACTGATCGCGATTAACGCGAGGAGCAGCAGACTATGACTTAGTAGACTGACGACACGTCTTAACTTGGTTGTCCTTAGCATTCTTCTAATTAACGTCTACATGAGCTAGTATCACCCACCAAGGTAGGGTGTGGTTAAGCATTGATAATACATGTCCTAAACACTTTGATCAACTTGGCATCCTTATTTAGATTGTGGCGTATAACCTCAGGATTCTTCACTTGATAATGTTAAAATATGCAAGGTGTATTTTCGATCCTTTAATTTATAATCCAGGAACAGTAAATATTTAGATTCACTTGGTATTGTTTGTTTGAATCTTATTATTGATGTTTAGGACTTCAATCGATCAGTTCATTATTGTTATATGTACATCCTGTGTGTATTGCCTCGATTTCGCTTTAATTCACCAGTATTATAAGCAAAGACAGATGCAGCTACATCCACCTAACAAGTCCTGAATAGGACGAAACACGCGTCAAACAGGATTCCACTTCTAGCCACTATTCATATTTGCTTATACAATAAATATTTATTTTCATAATTTCAAGTATAATATTCAGTTAACCCATAAACTTCACATAATTACTACTAATAACCAGTGGCTTTATAGAGATTGGCACATTGTTCAAATTCATATCACTTTAAAATGGTGTTTATGTGGTCAAATTCTTGTTGTCAGTGACATCTAACATACATAATTATATTATTATTTATAGAAATTGTTTATTACTAGTTATTATTAATTTTATTTTTTTTTCAAATTTTATTAACGGTTAAATATTTAAAGGTGATCGTTTCGTTTTTGTTTTTGTTTTTTTAAAAAAAAAGAGAAAAAAATAAAGGAAAGAAAGATATTGATTAAACTAATCCGATAACATAATAAAAAAATTTTTGTAAAACCACACATAGAAACAAATAATCATTTGGATCGGTCAGCAACAAAAATTTTATTTTATTCAGTATTCAGAAGAAAAAAAATGTTGTTGAGATTGTTTATTGTATGAAATAAATGTTTTGTATTTTTTTTTTGAAGAAAAATATTTTACACACAAGTATACTCCTATTGACTACCTACAACCACCATCTAATCTTAACATAAGACGAAGTGTAAAATGAACTTGATGAAACAATCATTTACATTTTGTTTTTCACTAAATAAAAAAAATTCAATTCAATCATCGGTCAAATTAATAATTAATACACTGTAGAATTTTCTATTAAAGTAAACAATAACAAAATAACTTCTGTTGTCCTACCAACAAACAGTGAAATATTAACAAAGTAAATACATGAATAAAACATTGTTTTAAATGATACAATAGTAGATAGTGTCTAAACAGCTTTAGACGTGTGTACTTTATCATTTAACCTATTTCACAAATGGTAGAGACTAGTCAACCAGATGACTGTTATTTCAATGTGTTAGATACAATGACCTTAGTGTTAGATATAAATGACCTTGACACGAATAATGTGTTTCATGCTTTTATAATATAAAAAACAGGCTTAGATTTAAAGTTTCAAGCTAAATTTGTTTTTCTATTTAATGTCTTTATAATTAAAATCGAGTATGGATATTATCAATATACTAGTGGTTGATAGTGGGATGCTCCAACCAGAATCTATTGATACAATTGCAGCAATTAGCATTGTTATATGACAGGGTGATTTATTCTGACCCTTCCATTTATTTTTCAATTAACTACCACGTATAGTCTTGATCATGTTTTGATATATGTACATATGATAATATATATCTATCCATTTCCTGTATTTCTTAAATGACTTATAAGAACTAAGTCATTTTATTATTCTCTGAATCGGTGTATCAACGAAGTCCAATGCTTCGTAAAATCGCTGGATATTTGTTTGCGTGTTCTGCGTCTGATATTAGCATATCTGAAATATACCTATCCTAATTACAACTCGTAATAGTCATTTAAAATACCCTTGTCCTTAACGTGTAAATTCGACAGAACATACACAAAATAAAGTAGCATATATACTTTATTATCATTAGCACCATCAGACAACGGACAATAAAATATGATATTCAATGTAAAAAAAAAAGAAACTATGTCTTTAAACACCAATATTTTTTCCAATAATCTACTGAGTCCAGACAACCACTGGTTTGTATAATGGGTACGAATTTGATTTATAATGGTTTGTATTAGACAGTGATCAATCGACAAAGGGAAAATACAAACCTTTATAAATAAAGGATGACTCTTAGGTCATTCGTATTAACATATCACAAAAAGGATCCATGATTAGTTTAAATATCATAACTCAGTTATCAAAGGGGAATAAGATTGTCTATTGTAAAATCCAATGAACAAATAGATGTCATTGGTCAGGATAACTTTATTTTTGACAATTATTGACACTAAAAAAGAACTAACAGGGAAATTAATGACATCCCAATTGTATATTTATACTTCAAATCAAATTATTCGTATCTCCTATGTATCATACAATTACATTAGACTGTAATAGAGAAAAAAAAAACTGTATTTTAGATTTCATGTAAAACTATTTATATTTCCGTAACCTTTAACATTAAGCACAAAACATATTGATTTGTCGCTTCCATACCTACTTCTTTTTCAGACAGTTTAGTTCTTTTTTTACAATAAGTAAAAATTTATGTTCAACTTACTGCATTAAATATGAACTTGGTTCTTGGAGCATTATAAAATATTTGAATTCTTGATTTTATTGTATTGCATTTAGAAATTAATCCACAACATGAATCAGTAGAATTGTTCCTTTTATTCTTAATATCAGGATCATAAGAACTATTGCAATCGACTAAGTTTTGTGATTCCTTTGTAATTGTATGACGATTATCCCATCGAAATAAGCAATCGAAAAATAATAAGAAAGGAAAAATTAATGTTGCTAATATTACAATTGCATTGGTATGCACTCCTCCACGCCATGCACGATATAATGAATCTTGGCATGCTGTTGAACTGATAAATTTTCGACGTAATGATTGAGCTGCTAAACGTAAACAATTGAAACTACCCCATATATATGTTTCTCTATCTAATAGATTTAATGTGAGCTCCTAAAAAAAAATATAATTACAAAATTATAAATATAATTTTTTTGTAAAATTCATTTCGGTTAGCATGATTACCAAAAATTGAAGAAATCCCATGATTGCGTTGGCATTTTCCCAATTTAAAAGTATGAAATGGTATGATTACTCTTATAAATAAGCATTGACTAAAGTAAATAAATTACCACTCTGTATCCTATTTCCCTAAAACAAAATCATACAATAATCAATGTAGATCATTTTTCAAATGAAAGTGACTGGAAAGTCCTTTAACAGATCAGAAATAGTGACTAATGTCAACAGTTATTTATCTTGAGATAAGATATTTAACTTGATATAATAGAACTGCAACAAACGCAAGATTGATAAATTATCTCAACACTCATTACATATAGTCGCACGTTTTTATCTCACATTTAATTTATTCTCTAAGTATGTATGTAGTTTACCAAAACACATTGTAAGTAAGGATAGGCAATACATCTCAATTAACGTAAACATATCAAATCTACGATCTACAATTATTGTTTCCAGTAAGAGACCAAAAGTTGTTAATAATGTTAGACCATCATTGAAAACCAAAGGACCTAAGTTCGAGTTCAGCATGAAGGGTTGTGGGAATGCATTTCTGAGGAGTCCCATACTAGGATGAAACGGCCATGCAGAGTTTCCAGGTTTTCAATAGTGATCTAACATTGACTGGTTCATAATTTTAATGAGACTCAACAATCTTTACAACCCTACACTGACAATAAACTATTTGTTAACTGACAGAAGAAATATGTTGAATTTAACTTTGGAATACTTACTTCACTTGTTGAATAACATTTTTCTAGTAAACGAGTTGCAATCACTTCAAATTCTTTAACATATGATTCATATAAAGCTCTTGCTTCTGTGTCATATGAAGGCAATGATTTAATCATATTCGAATAAAGACAACATCCTATTAATGCTAAAATAAGACCATTTTCACTAAGCTCCCAAAAGTATAAAGCCATTTCTTGACGTTGATGCAACACAGCCCAAATAAATAATTCCTTTAATTATTCACAAAATAAAATTAAACAGAAAGATAACAACAAATTTCAATATAACAAAAGATTAGTATTTGAAGTGTTTACACATCGGCTAGTTCAACTATTGTTTAAGGCACTAAAAAAGCGATCTATCTTGAGAATTTCACGAAATATATTGATGTTATTTACAGAAAATTTCGGGTAATCTGATCAATTCAATATTTATTCAAAGTGTATTGATAAATTTCCGCAACAAATATGAGGTGATTTTAATCTCTTAGTTTAAGGGAAGATAGAGAGTGTATACACCTACACCATTGTGATCGATTCTCATCCATGACACACACAATCTACAATCATTTGTTACGACAATCATGCGGACCCCAACCAAGTAGTCTGCATCTACCAACATGGCTCAAATTAGAAGTTAGTGATTTCAAGTACTGATGCCATGTTTTGGTTTGACCACCCCTAACTTTCTTCCAACCATCCTCAACACTAGTCAGCATTGTATGAGTTTATTTTCCACAGAAAAGTCAATCATGTTTATTGCTGAGAACTCCAAACACAAAGAATTGTTTTTTAAAAGCTGAAAAAGTCTCATCATATTAAAACAAAGTTAATATGAACGAAGAATTTTCTTTAAAATCCATTCTCTTCAGATTCAACAATTCAATATACAAATTAATAATTCAAAACAAGTGACCAACTTCAAGGCAAAGTACATGTCAGGTTGACTAATATGAAGTGTTAACTCGTATAAGTTTATACGTTAAATGAAATTATGAGCTTAACGATTAGAATATTGTTAACGTGGGTTGAAAGAAATGATAATGTAAATACAAATAAAAAGCCATGTAATATACAGAATACTATGAATTAGGTATGAAATAGTAAATAGGGGTGGATGTTGAGTAAATTTCCCAAAAATGTTGTTAAGAATAATAATGTGTAGATAAGCTTAAACTATGACAATGAACATTAATCAAATTATGTCACCATATACTTTTAAATGATGTACTTTGCTTTGAACTTTGCCAATTTTTGGATTATTAATTTTAATATTATATTGTAGAAATTATTAAAAAGAATATTCTTTATTCATATATCTATGTGTTTAACCATTCTCTAGTCAGTAAATTTTGATTTTTCATAGTTAATTCAATTTGAAATTCAAGTAATCTATACAGTCAAAAGAACTGGATCAAAATGTTATACACTGCCGAGGTATTGGCAATCCATCAATACATGACCGAACTTTGTGTGCAAAAACGATTCGTCCAACTTCTTATCCTTCTTCCGTTTTAATTCCCTTTCGTAATATCTTTCGGTTTTTTTTAAAATCAGTGCTTTGTAATCTTAAACTGTAATCAGTTATTATTACTCTTAGACAAATTTTCTTGATTTTAGACCTAATATATCCTCTCTTTTACTTCCCACTAGATCGGGACATCTCAGAGGACATAGCAAGCGTGTAGAAAAGACTAGAATGAATAAAATACCCATAGCATACAGGTTTTTAAAATAATTCATCAATTCTTAGAACCTGTAACCCGAAACAGTTGTGTCTGCACCTTCAATTGACTCATTTAAGAAAAGACCAGACATTCACGGAAGCGTGCTAGAAAAGGAATAACATAGGCCGTATGCCCGTTTGTCCTTACTACACAAATTTGAATCCGACATCTGAATCACTATTCAGTTTTTATTATTGTGACCTTTATATTTGTCGTTTTTCTTCATACCTATCAGTTTGACAATTATTTGACCCGTAAATTATTTCCAGCCTTCTCTTACTCCTTGATAATAAGAGTGTCGAATCAATTTATGATGCAATCTTTTCTATCCTTCTATAGACATATATTTTCCATATAAAATATAAATACAAATGTACAACTTAAGTAAATGATTGCGTCGCTGAAATCTCTCCATTTTTATTCAATGGGATACTTCAAAGAACAAAGAAATTCATATTGATTTTAGGAGCACATCTATAGAAAAAAACATGATTCAAATATCTCATATGAATCTACAAGTCAAATGAAGAGACAGTAATTGAACAAATACACAATACATAAACCCAATAAAGTAATGTGAAATGCGTTACAATTTGTTAGCCAACAGGTAAACAAAAATGTTACACATAAACACTGTGTTCCATTTTGTTTTTCTAAAACCAAGTTAATCGGGGGTACATATTAACAATTTTAATTTGTAGTCAATCAATTATGTATCACTTTTTGTTGTTGAAATAAATGAAACACTCACAATACAACGGATATTCATTAGTGAAATAGTGTAGGTCAAAACAAGTCTGGTCTGTTATTTGATTAATATTAAACAATTTTTTTTTCCATATAATCTACGATTATTAGAATTCTTAAATAGTTTAATAAGAACGGGAACAGATACATTTTAACTCTGTCTAAATGTAAATTGTACTGTTTAGTATTTAAAAGTGTAATTATACAACAAAATGTTTACCACTGAAACATATTATGATCGTGAGAAGTTAAAATCTTTCTTTTTGTTTGCCAATTCTGCCAATGATTTACTGTGAGTTTCCATTAGGGATTTCAGGCTTAACAATCCAAGATACTATAAGACAGCCTATAAATAACTGAATTAATTAAAGTGATCTAGAGCTATGTTATAAGGATTCGAGGTGTTGTTATCGTTTCCAGGTTATACATTGTTTGAAAAACGAACTGGATTAGTTATGCATATGGAGATCTGAAAGCGTGATCACCGAGGCCCAATGATATGTAATTAAGACCAGTCCGCCACGGTATTCTCTTTTTGATAGTTTTAAATGTGTTAATTTCGTAAATGAAACTACCACAAGTAGGTTAGAAGTACATTCTTGATACGATTATCTTGAAATCATGTAATAATAACTTTCAGATGTTCTGATGTCGAAACATGGCTAAATATATAGTGAATGAAGTTGACGGTTCTAAGTAAACATATTCGCTTATTACGAGTCGTTTTATAGCTGTTAGAATGGCTTATTCAAACTATGCAATTACTATTTTAAACTATTCGATTTGGAATAAACAGACACTTATTATGGGAGGGTTACTGAAAACAATTTCAATCAATTATATGAGAACAAGATTATATTAGTTTAAAAACTAATTTTATAAAAGAGTGACAATCACTGGAGAAAAGTTTAAACTAAAGAACATTTGAAAATCATTGAACCTTACTATGGGACTATTTGTTTATACACAAACGCGGATGTACATGTAATCAAACCTTTGGATTTCAAGATGAGATCACTAAAATCAAAATCTAAATATTCATATTTCCGATTCAGAAAAAATATCAGAACAAATATCCAGTAATACTGGCGAATAACTGTCTCACTCTAAACATTTTTGAACTAAAAATTTGGAAGTTCATCTAGACGTTAGTCCCACGTAGGGAGATGATTATCAATCATCGAACTTCTTTTAACTGGTACCAGACGCATATTCAACGATATTTAATTTTAAATAATATTTCAATCTATAACCGGTCATTGATAAATCGGACAATTTTGCATTAACGGATAACAAAAAAATGAAGTGGAGCAGTTCTAAATAAGATAGCGCAAAACAGTTAAATTCAAAGATATGTAATAACTATTTTTAGTAGCTTACTTGAAATGGCGAGGAAAACCTTGACCGATTCACTACGTTAGGCAGATTGTCTGGACTCTGAGTTGCACACAAATGAGATGATACAACCAGTGAAGAGGTAAAAAAAACAAATGTTATCAAAATCACAGAAATAGGTTAATAATAATGTTACTGGTAAAACAATCCACATAATTAGACTTAAGAAATATACACTTGAAAAGCAGTATCTTGTCAAATATTTTTGATAATGGTGTTCATGGAATTTTCACTAGATTATGAAATTTAATGTTGTGAATGACCGTCTAAATCGGACCAAAATGTTACTGACACCAAAACAATGTCATGTTGTTGATTACACGAATGCCTGCAGCCGGAAATATATCAAACACGGAGAAATAAAATCACGATAAACATGGAAATATTTAATTTTCTACAATTATGAAGTTGAAACAGAAAATTATGACTATACGGTTCATAAGTATTTCTCCGTTAATAAGTAAAAAAGATTGGTGAAGTATTATAAACGTATACCAACAGAAAAGCTGTCAACAAACCAACAAGATTAGAAAACATATTATCCTGAAAACTTGAAAAAATTAGTCTTATTTCTAAGATGATTGAGTCGACCCTTCAACATCAACCACAATGTTCACGATTCAATACACTTAAAATTGAACATTCAAGGACTCTCTCTAACATTTCATACATAAAACATCAGAATAAGACGTTGAAACCAATATACTATCTTGATATTTTCTGTCTAGCTCCGACTAGAGCCCCTCTGGAGCTACTGTCAGTACCAAGCCCGGATAAAGGACGAGGATTGGGCATGAGGTTAGTGACCTCATCACGAAGAAAAGTACCTCGCCAAAAAATCGCTAACCAGAAAAAAATAATTCAAACCATTTAAACCCAGCCCTGGGGTTAGAAGGTTTTGATTTTGAGAAGTTATGAAACATCATAGTGAAAGCTAAGTTCCTTCGGAAGTCACGAGGCTGATGACCCTTCTGACAACCAGAGCACCCAACAATTTAGGTACATGGAATGCTCTTACAATCTGGAGACCAAGAGAGTCATCTAAAATGTTACAGAATAATTTCTGTCTAGAATATAGTTGACAAACATTTTTTGGTTAGAAATGTCATACTTGGATATATTATGATTTTTAGTGGTCCGTGGATCTGACTCCTATTTAGATCGTATAAATGTTTGTTATCACCTATTCTCGTATATAATCGTCGACTTAAATCACGTTATCCAATAACGGAATTAAATAAGTCGAATAACGAGAATTGATTTGTGAATACATATATTTTGTATATGAAGCGAATGAAACATAGCAAAGCAAAATGACACGCAGGGAAGATGGCTGGGAATTTATGGACGAACCAATCAGATTTATGATAACAAGTCTTGGATTTTGGCGCGAAATTCACTCACTAATTTGTCTAAATAACGTTCTGGCATTTTAGCTTATGTCAGTTCGTCATGAAAACCATAAATCTAATTCCTAACATTAACTATTAATTGTAAATTATAATCCTTATTCTTCAAACTCCTTTTTAAGCTTCATTTAGCCCAAGTAAGTAGGTGAACTCCGCCTGCAGCTCTTATAGGGTTGCTGCCGGTCCCAAGCCCGGGTAAAGGAGGAGGGTTGGGCATGGGGTTAGCGTCCCCATCCCGTAGAAAACTAACTCGCTAAAAAAACGCTAACCAGAAAAAATAATCCAAACCATTTTAACTCTGCCCTGGGAGTTAGAAGGTCTTCATTTAGAAGAATTATGACGCTTCATGGTGAAAGCCGAGTTCCTTCGGAAGCCACGAGGCCGATGCCCCTTCTAACAACCAGAGCAAAAATTTTTATAGGTACATGGAACGTTCGAACAATGTGGGAAACCGGGAAGACCAATCAAATATCAATGGAAATGAGGAGATACAACTTAGCAGTACTGGGAATCAGCGAAACCCACTGGACCCAAGCTGGACAGAAAAGGCTAGCTACGGTAGAGATGCTGCTATACTCCGGTCACGAAGACGACAATGCTCCACACACTCAGGGAGTCGCTCTTATGCTGTCCAAAGTAGCACGAAATGCACTTGTAGGATGGGAATCTCACGGATCCAGAATCATCAAAGCATCATTCAAAACAAAGAAGGAGGGGATCTTAATGAATATTATCCAATGTTATGCACCCACCAATGATAGCAACGACGAAATCAAAGATCAGTTCTACGAGCGGCTGCAGTCAGTGATAGAGAAATGCCCAAGAAAAGACCTCACCATTCTAATGGGAGATCTCAATGCCAAAGTCGGAATAGACAACACTGGATATGAAGATATTATGGGACGACATGGACTGGGAGAAAGAAACGAAAATGGAGAAAGATTTGCAAATCTATGCGCATTCAACAAATTGGTCATATGCGGCACCATATTTCCACACAAGCGTATACACAAGGCTACATGGATCTCACCGGACCACACTACAGAGAACCAAATAGATCATATTTGCATCAACAAAAAATTCCGAAGGACAATGGAAGATGTGAGAACCAGGAGAGGTGCTGACGTAGCTTCAGATCACCACCTAGTTGTAGCCAATTTGAAACTGAAGCTAAAAAAGAACTGGACAAGTGGACAAACAGCAATACAAAGGTTCAATACAGCCTTCCTTCGAGATACTGTCAAACTCAATGAATTCAAGATAGCTCTCAACAACAGGTTCCAAGCCTTACGAGATCTACTGAAAGAAGAAGAAACTACTATGGAGGACAACTGGAAAGGCATCAAGGAAGCATTAACTTCAACGTGTCAAGAGGTTCTCGGTCTAAAGAAATACCATCATAAGGAATGGATCTCTACAGAAACAGTGGACAAGATCAAAGAAAGGAAGAACAAGAAGGCAGCAATAAACAACAGCCGAACACGAGCAGAGAAAGTCCAAGCACAAGCTGAATACATAGAAGCAAACAAACAAGTGAAGAGGAGCATTAGAGCCGACAAGAAGAAATACGTTGAAGAACTAGCAACGACGGCAGAAAAAGCTGCTAGAGAAGGAAACATGAAACAGCTTTACGATACAACGAAGAAACTATCAGGGAAATACAGTAAACCAGAGAGGCCGGTCAAAGACAAAGAAGGCAAGCCAATCACCGAAATTCAACAACAACGTAACAGATGGGTAGAATACTTCGAGGAACTCCTGAATAGGCCGGCTCCAATGAATCCACTGGACATCGAAGCAGCACACATAGATCTTCCTATAGATGTCAATCCACCAACTACGGAAGAAATTAGAATGGCCGTCAGACAAATCAAGAACGGGAAAGCAGCAGGACCCGACAACATACCAGCTGAAGCACTGAAATCAGACATCGAAACAACCACAAGCATGCTTTATCTTCTATTCAAAAAGATTTGGGAAGAGGAACAAGTGCCGATGGACTGGAAAGAAGGACACCTCGTCAAGATTCCAAAGAAAGGAGATCTGAGCAAATGTGAAAACTACAGAGGCATAACACTACTGTCAATACCAGGGAAAGTCTTCAACAGAGTGTTGCTGAACCGGATGAAGGATGCAGTAGACGCCCAACTTCGAGATCAACAAGCTGGATTCCGTAAGGATCGGTCGTGCACAGACCAAATTGCAACACTACGGATCATCGTCGAACAATCAGTTGAGTGGAACTCATCATTATACATCAACTTCATTGATTATGAAAAGGCATTCGACAGTGTAGACAGGAGGACGTTATGGGAACTTCTTCGACACTACGGAATTCCTGAGAAGATTGTCAATATAATCCGGAACTCATACGACGGACTACAGTGCAAAGTAGTGCATGGAGGACAGCTGACAGATGCATTCCAAGTAAGGACCGGAGTCAGACAAGGCTGTTTACTCTCTCCCTTCCTTTTTCTCCTGGTGGTCGACTGGATTATGAAGACCTCAACATCTGAAGGAAAACACGGAATACAATGGACAGCTCAGAATCAATTAGACGATTTGGACTTCGCAGATGACCTAGCCCTCCTATCCCGTACACACGAACAGATGCAGATGAAGACAGCCAGTGTAGCAGCAGTCTCTGCATCAGTAGGCCTCAGCATACACAAAGGGAAAACTAAGGTCCTCAAATTCAAAGCGGAGAACAGCAATCCAATCACTCTTGATGGCGAAACTCTGGAAGATGTAGAATCCTTCACATATCTGGGAAGCATCATCGATGAACAAGGAGGCTCAGATGCAGACGTAAAGGCAAGGATCGGCAAAGCAAGGGTCGCATTCCTACAATTGAAGAACATATGGAACTCAAAACAACTTTCAACCAATATCAAAGTGAGAATCTTCAATACGAACGTCAAGGCAGTTCTACTGTATGGAGCTGAAACTTGGAGAACTACAACAACCACAATCAAGAAAGTACAAGTATTTATAAATAGCTGTCTTCGCAAGATACTCAACATCCATTGGCCGGATACCATCAGCAACAGCCTTCTGTGGGAGAGAACAAACCAACTCCCAGCTGAAGAAGAAATTAGGAAAAGACGATGGAAATGGATAGGACATACATTACGCAAATCGTCAAACTGCATCACGAGGCAAGCCCTAACTTGGAATCCTGAAGGGAAGCGAAAAAGAGGAAGGCCAAAGAACACATTGCGTCGGATAATAGAAGCAGATATGAAAACGACGAATTACAACTGGACAGACCTAGAAAGGATTGCCCAGGACAGGGTTGGATGGATAACGCTGGTGAGCGGCCTATGCTCCTTCATGAGGAGTAACAGGCGTAAGTAAGTAAGTAGGTGAACATTCTTAAGGTCACTTTATGGTCGCTTAATGGTCATTCATAAATTATAGTCTTACCAAACATGAATAGAAATGATTTTAAAAAAAGTTTATTCAACTACTCGATTTCTTACATCAGCATCTGTTTCATAAAGATAATTGTCAAAACTTCCCAACATTTTATCTAACAATAAACTAATAGTAGCTAGTCGTAATTTTTTGTTTGAATTATCTATACTCGGAGAACTATTTTCATTTTTATTAATATTTGTTGACAACTGAAGAAGTTTATGCTTGCGAAGACATTTGATTAATCCATCACGATGTACTGAATTATTATATAATATACTAAGTCGATCCACAGTAAGAAATGTATTCATTGATACACCATTATATAAAAATATTTTCACAAAATCAAGTTCATCCTTTTTTAATGCTTCTAACATGAAATATTCCAATGTAACTATGTACATAAAGAAACAAAACAAAAAAATCAAAGATAAAATAGAGAAGTTAACAGATAAATTAATGCGAAAAAGTTCTATCAAAAAGTTACGACAGATTTTCAAAAATTAAAAAAGACAACTTTTATGAAAAATGATTTCATAACAAAGGATTTAACATTATTTGTAAGTAAAATCATGAATCGATCAATGTTAGACCACCACTGAAAACATGGAAGTACTGGACGGCTGTTTCGTCCTGGTGTCGGACTTATCGGAAGAGCACATCCACGATCCTGTATGTGAGATTCGAACACAAGGACTTTCGGTCTCTCACGAGAACGTTTAACTAATAGACCACTGAGCCGTCATCTAACGGTATTAATGTCTAACTTCAATTAATCCACAATATTGTGCAATCATCTTTCATTGTCTTCAGTGGAGAACTGCTTCACACCCGACACGGATTGGACTCCACTAGTCACAAATTCTTACTAGAACTCTGAAAATTATCTCTCGAAGCTAGTCACCAATGGTGGCATGATAATTATCAATATACGTTTGTGGATATGGTTGATAAACCAATTAATAAGTAATTGATATTTCACTTGTTATGCCTTGTTTTTTAATATCAACTCAGAACTTCCCGAATTACAATAAAAAGTAAATGTTATATAGAGATAAAGAGATGTTGTACAATTCAACCGGTTTAAACATTACCATTTGAAAATTCATTCTTTTAAATCATAGAGATAACACTATTCAAATTTGGCTAATTCAATTATCATTAACTGAAGAGATGCCATTTCAACTGTTAACAGTTACATTCCAAATCTTGAATAAGTGCATATTTATGAATTTTATGAAGCTAGATGGATGAATTGTGGAAACCTTAATTTCAGCCTATATAGTGAGTGAATGAAATTTGTTATTCGAATGATCGAGTAATTGTGATCATGGACATTCAAGAATGAATCAAGATATAACAGGTATCTTCTTTTTTCACTTCTTAGAAATAATTGTATGTAACTACATAGAATTCATCATTATAAGTGTCGATGCTAAAACATCCAAAAATAATGTGTTAACAATGATAATGAAAATAATAACAGTAATGCTAACAGTACAAGTAAAAACCAGTAATAAACGATTTTTCACTCAACTACGAATGATACGGCCCAAAATGGAATCGCAATAGAACAAAATCATCCAATTTTCGCTATAAGATAATCATACTTTTATCCAGAAAACTCATCCTTTCCGGGATAAAGCCGTGATATATTGGAACTACCCGGTTAGGGTCACAGAGATTACATTATGTAACAGTTGGAGACGTTAGATAAAATAGCTCATTATCAGCCACTTTTCTTCTCCCCTTAGATACGTAGTTTTAAAATTGAATTACACTTTTTAGTTCATTAATTCATTCTATCCTCTCGAATTATCTAATACAAGCTTAATATATTCTGCTACCACTGGTACTTTTACTACTACTATTAAGAATAATAATCTGAGATCAGAATATCAAGAATGCTGTATTGATGTACTAAATCAAGTTTATTCAATATCTCAAGGCCTATTTTGTTTATAACTGACTAAGTCACGGAACCAAAAAAACAGGTTACAATTTACCTTGATCAAATTGATTGCCTTGTTGAAATATTATATCTCGTGCAATGTCACTACGTTTCCAGGTGAATGCTAACTCTAATTGTTTGTCTATATTAGATGATGTTTTGATTAGAGAGTATAGAATAGCCAAATCTAAATCATTGGAGTGATTCATATCAAACGTTGTAATTAGTCTATCATTTTGTACAATGAATTCAATCATTTCTATAGCAGAATCAACCTTCGATGCAGTACCAGAAATATTTTGTAGTTTATTTTTTAATGCAGCCAACTCCATCTCTGAGAATCCATTGAATGTTCTAGTTTATTTAAAAAGAAATTGACATGTAAAAAAACAGTGTCTAAGCAGCAGTATGGTATACGCTACTGACGTCGACAGATATAAGAAGTATGTATCACTAATCGAAAGTGAAATGTATGGTAACCGAATGTTAAGGAGATCGAAGAGAAGAGAACAAGAACAGAGAATGACTAATGCGGAAACGAAGGAACAATCAATTCTGAGACAATTGATTGACATTTTGCAAATGAAGTATTTACTGTGTGGTTCTCAGATTTTACTAAGAGATTCTATAATGCTATGTTAAAATACAATTGGTTGTCCCCACCGGTGTTCTCGTTCACTATAGTAGTATACAGAAGTAAATTTATAAAAGTGTGTAAATTAAATAAATGAAATTAATTATTATTGTGGTTGGAGTTTATGCGATAAATATGATCACTGGTTAAAGATGATTTATGACAAATCTCACAATTGATCAAAATATAACAAACGCATTCACTATTCAACTTATGCTACATTTTTAATTCGAGTAGTCTTTCATACATACAGTTTTATTCTGTCTTTTGGAAGCATATTCGAAATGTTTAGTTTTGCTCATTATTATTACAATTATATGATTTATTTTAAGCTTTACGTTGATTTTGACTATGACTAAATTAATTGTTATAAACAAGAATTTACATAGTATATCAAGGTGATGAATAGTTTGAATATAGTTGATCATATCCATTGAACATACCACTAGTGTATGAAAGTTATCACGCAGATAATTACACTTTGTTTTTGATGGAGTTTTGTTCTTTGAGCTGGATGGTTTGTTCACAAACTTCGGGTTAGTTCTGATGATGTCGTTCAGAATAACGATGGAAGTTTCATAACCAAACCATTCAGCTATGAGAACGAAACTCCACCAAAATCATCCATTTGAGCTACAGATCTTCTCCACTACACTTTGTACATGCTTATTTTGTTAATACGATTTACCAATTTCAGTTAAAAGTTAAGAAGATTATAATTTTATTGACAAATAAATATATAATTTTATGAATTTGTTAAAATCTTTATTTCCAGTGTTCCCAGTGATGGAGTGATAAATAAAATCTATATAAATGAGAATAAACACATTCAATATGTTTGATTTCCCTAATCACAATCCATGTACTATCACATTGAAACATAAGGAACCATGTAGGTAACCGATTTATCAACAGGAATTTATAAATGAGGCCATGTGAACTCGATATATATATATATATATATAGAGAGAGAGAGAGAGAGCGAAGACCTAAGGTGGGGAATACCAATTTATTGTTTAATGCAAAACTACGGAGTGCCTTCGTAAGATATGAAAACCATACATTAAATACATTATTTGCACATCATCAATCAGTTGTCATTTACATACTTCATGATTCTATTACAATTACTCTATGTTGACATTCTTTTTCTTTTCACTTCGATCTTCTTAATCTTCTTCTGACAAGCATTCAACTTTTGATTGATGGTACATACTACTCATATTTGTCAACATAAGTAGTATACACTATATATACATATATAGACTTAATTCATAATTTTACGTCTAACATTTCTTTTACAAAACACAATGTTCAAAGTTCATTTCTAATTTTGGTTATTTTTAATTATCAACCAAAAATAATAATAAAATACATATCATCATCTGTGAACAAATATTATTTGATGTGTTCCTTATTTTTGTTCTCTAATAAATGATCAAGATGAAGTAAATTCTATTGTATTGAATAGATCAGTGATTGATAAGAGATTGTACATTGAGAGTAAACTTCAAAAGTAATCATAGTTACAAAATAAAATCACATAACATTTGCATAGTGTTAAACTAATATCTATTTCTATGCTGTTTATCTATATAGAGAGAAATATCATATTGATACAACTAATTGATACAATAAAAACCGATCATGAACTGTGCTGAACTTTGATTGAATTCGTTTTACACTCATTCTAATCAAAAAAATACCTTAATTTTATATAAATAAACTTTGAAAATTTCATTTATTAACAGATTCGTATTATGTTGATCAATTGTAGGTCTGAATCTGTCGACTCGTTTATTTCAGTTTTAACAACCCGGTAAGATCAATAGCATCTGATTAGTACATAAAAATAAACTTGATAAATGAATAATAATCGAATTCATTTTCTTTATTTATATCCACATATCAACTATATTTTATTTAATAACATTGATTATTCTGTTTGTAAATTGTTTATAAACAATGAAGCGGCGCTTTAGAGTGTTCAGGTATTCATCTTTGGGCTACTAAGTCTCAGCTTTGAATCCTACTTCACCTATTTCAATTTGGGCAACCGGGTATAATAATTATCTTTCACAGAGTGTAACTTATATCTAATAACTTGATGAATGATTACAATTAGTAGTGTTTTATTTGAAAATATTCTTTCACAAGGTGACATCAGAAACTTACTCATTTCTTAAACGATACTCGAATGCTAATGATAGGATGTCAGCTGCTCGCCCAGTACCAGAACAAATCACTACGGGAACATGTTCTTTAAGACTATTCTTAGCATCAATAAAAACGTCGTGACCACCTTCAACAATTACAAGCACTACAGGAATACCGAAACCACCCTCTATAAGAAAAATAAAAGTTCCTCTCTTAGTAATTATTCATTAATAAATGATAATATAAAAAGTTTGATAAATCTTGCATGTTTACAAATAAAAAAAAAGATTACTCCAGAATGAGACAGTTAGTTAATTAAAGTTAGTTTTGCAGTGTTTAGACTCTAAATGTAAGTTATAATTAAAATTGGATGACAACTATGAACGTATAAAATCAATTAATAAAGATTTTTTGGGATGAACTTTCACCCAGTTAGCAACAATTGACAGTTTCGGATAACATAACTAGTAGATAATAATGTAATTCACTTATTAAGTACAATTTTCTAAAATAGATGACTTCGAGTTACATTATTTAAATAAGCCAGAATAAATATCACTCATTTTCAAAATGGTTGAAGTAAAACTTGAACTTATTACTTGTTGGTTAAAGTCTGAATGTTTCTATCTAATAATCCATCAAACTATAGAATAGATGATTAAATAAATACATAAGTAATTCATAAGTAACCCATATATGTCCCTAAACTACATACTTGTTAAACATTATTTCTCTGTTTATCAGCCACTTTAATCAATTTTACTTCTTACTAATACAGATTTGTATGGATTAACCAGTTTAATTATTGCATACTATAAATGTTTTATCATTATTATTATTAGTTTCTATGTTTATTTCTATAATAATATAAGATTCAAACGATTATAGAAGTTCTAACTGGTTCACTTCTAATTGTTATTATAGGATGTTATGAATATTGTTTCACATCGTCGATCGACCTTAGTTAGATGACTGTTTAAAAATAGGAAACATTGGACAGATGTTTCATTCCAGCATTGGCCTCCTCAGTTGTTCGCATTTAAAACCCGACAAAAGATTGAACTCATGACTATGGAACTTTGTTGTGAATTCATTACTTATTTGTTGGTTAACACTTATAGATTCAATATTAGGTGACTATCAACTTCTGCCATTAGGAATGTTTGTCACATACCAGTTCAGTTCTACTGATTATCTTTTGTTTGGGTTTAATTTCGCCACTGAAAATTGTTACTCTAATGGTTAGACGTTTTGTAACTGAATAGTTATTAGTAGTTGTTTAAGTAACATTCAACTTATGTAATCAATAACTATATCCATCTACTTAGTTACTTACTTACACCTGTTACTCCCAATAGAGCATAGGCCGCCGGCCAGCACTCTCCAACCTACTCTGTCCTGGGCCTTCTTTTCTAGTTCTATCCAAGTTTTGTCCATTTTTCTCATGTCTGTCTCCATTTCTCAGTGTAATGTGTTTTTTGATTTTCCTCTTTTCCTTTGGCCTTGAGGATTCCATGTGAGGGTTTGCCTTGTGACGTAGTTGGGTGCGTTCCTCAATATATGTCCCATCCACTTCCAACAATTCTTCCCGATTTCTTCCTCTGCTCGGATCTGGTTTGTCCTCTTCCACAGTAGGTTGTTACTGATAGTATCTGACCAACAGATCAGAAGTATTTTGCGTAGACAGTTGTTAATAAACACCTGTATCTTCTGGATGATGGCTTTCGTAGTTCTCCAAGTTTTCACCCCATACAGTAGGACTGTTTTGACATTTGTATTGAAAATTCTGACCTTGGTGTTGGTTAACAGTTGTTTTGAGTTTGAGATGTTCTTCAGTTGTAAGTATGCTGCTCTTGTTTTGCCGATCCGCCTGGGCCCCCTCTGGGGCTACTGTCGGTCCCAAGCACGGATAAAGGACGAGGGTTGGGCATGGGGTTAGCGACCCCATCCCGTAGAACACTAACTCGCTAAAAAAACGCTAACCAGAAAAAATATCCATGTACATCTACATAAAAATAAAGAATATATATGTTGGTATTTAAATTTTTAACAATCTATAAGAAGAAAAAAGATTTTATTGTTCAAAACCTAGTTTACTTACTTTTAACAGGGAGAGCAATTTGCTTTTCTAGTCTAGCTCGAAATTCAGCTGATTTACTTCCACCATATCTTAAACGTCTACCTTCATCAACAAATATATAATGTGTATGATTTTGATTTAAAGAAACTGGAGAATCACGAGTTATAAAATCTGTAATTTCATATCGTATAGGTGTATTATGATTCTGATGAAAAGATAATAGATAAATAAAAAACGAATCAATCACTTTATGCAAATCATCTAAAGAAAAAGAACAGATTAAAAAAATCATACTGTCTAAACTCTCGAAATTTGAATGACATTTGTCCATCATCCGTGATGATGCCGTTCTTACGGTCTCAGAGATGCCAAAGCTCGATGACTTGAGACGTTATCGGATATAGCTGTGAACAAGAATTAGTGATGATTATACTGTAGTTTTTGTTTTGTTTCGTCAAAAGTGAGAAGAACATTTTTAACTGGAATACATCTCCCTTTGTTCTGTTTTTAGGCGGACAGTGTTTCCGATTACATATAGTTCTTGTCCACTTATTATTTTTTTTGCAATAATGCTTAACCTTGCTTTATAAGTTAGTGTTGCTAATATCTCTATCATGTGATAGGAATTTCGGGCTGTATGACCCATATTTCAGAATAAAAAGAAACAACTACCAAAACACTGATGAAAATCATCTTTGTATTGGTTGTTTGAATCTTCCCATTGATGTTTAGGATTACAACTGATCAGTCTCTTAATGGCATATAAGCTAAATGGATAACGGTATGGTGTTTGAAGCGAACGCCACTGGGTTAGAGTCTCGGAGTGAAGATCAACTCTGGGATGCGGGCACATCCGGTTGACGAGTTCTAAATAGAACTAAAAGCGCATCCTGGATTCCACTGCTAGCCACCATCATCCCAGCTTATAATGCTGGTAAAATCGTACAATAAATCTTTAAACTGAGAAAAACGCTATAGTAGAAAAGTCGATAGCAGCAGCTAAACATCCAGCTGATTAGTGTCGAATAGAACGAAACGCATGTCCTGAATTCTATTGTATTTAAAAATTTGTAACTGAATGACATTATCGATGCTATTTGCACAGGATCCACACACATCAAAAAGAGCTCGATCAATTGAATTCCTTTATATCAATAACAAGAAAATCGAAACCATTAAAAAAAATTTCAAACAAGACTATTTAAGCTTAACATGTAAAACTATGACAAGTGATGTTTGTGACCAGTAACGTTTTTTTGTAATGTCTATACATTTATTTCAGTAGTTATAATATAGTTATAAACTTAAACAATAAATAGTCCGAACGTCAATGTTGTATGTCTCACATAACAGTTCAATTACAGAATTTAGAATTATTGTTTACGATTAATTACAACATAATCAATTATAACCAAAATGTAAAATAATTTATTCACGATAAATAAATGAATTTTTAATGAGAATTTACTTCAGCGACAAGTGTTTGTCGGTTCAACACATAACCCCAAGGAGCAATACCAAGACAAATAAGTGATTCAGATGGTTTCCATTCATCAAAATGAAACTTTTGATCTTGCAATGCCTTGCCAACCATTCGTACAATTCCCAAATTTAATCCAGATGTTACAATCCATGCCTTGGTACTTAGTGCAGCTTGAACTAAACCCTATATATATATGTATACATAAACATGCATATTGAAATTGAAAATAATTAGATAACTTTATAAGATCAATGAAAGATTCGACTGTTTTCTCTCTTAATGATAAGAAATATTGTGATTTCTAATGTTTAAACCTTTTCTGTAGTATTGAATATGGATAAAGAACAATCACAGTCGATTGAATGGATATAGAGTATAGGGAAATAGGAAAATTATATACAATAAAGATAATATAGATAGACATGAAGAAATTGGAATCAATTTATGTAATTAAATTAAGAATAATGACATCTTTCAAATTATAAAAAAAAGAATACCAAAGATACTATCTGTTTATATGTTAATAGTTGTTTAACTTCTCTGAACATTATGGTAACTCTCTAACTGTTTATTGAAGAATAATCACTGTTATGTTACCGAGTCGCCTATTGATCAACACAGTGAATTAGATTTAATGTGGAATATTTGAAAATGAGAAACAGAAAACAACAATGTGATAAAATGATAATCCCCCCTCCCACTAATGGCTTGTCTAATTTTATCATTACTAATTTATTCAAGTAGTAGGTGTTTCATCGTTATAATGTCGAAAACACGTATACTCTTGTTATTACATGTTATATTGTTTGAATATGAAAATATTGTTACTGAATGCGAAACTTAATATTTAACTTTCATAAGTGGTTTGTTGGACTGGACAATTTGATTTAAAAAATATGTTTTAAAACATTATTTCACACATAAGAGCAGTATGGTGATGAGCAAAACACTTAGTTTCCAACTGCTAAGTCACAAACTTATTAATGCTGATAATGGTATTATCTAGAAGTGGTAGAGAAAAGTTTGTGAAAAACAGATAAATTTGTCATTGAAAAGAGGATTTATAATAATTAAATTCAAAACTTGTTTAAAAAACAGGTACACAAATTATGTTTACCTGTAATCTATTATAAATTAGTCATCTATAGTAACTGATTAAGTAAAACCGGATACAAATTTTTAAAGACGATCTTAAGTTTCCTTTAAGTTCGAGGTTGTACTTTAACTTCACTGAGTTTATGCCTGAAATTTATTGGAACGGTATTCGAGTCACTTGATTCCTCACAGGTAGATCGATAATTTGAGACTAATGCTAAGCATCGGTCAGTCATAATCAACATAGAGCCTGATACGAATGTGCATATAACATATGACTGGCAAGATGAAACTAACAAGATCAGTAGCAAGGGAATAGGAACAATGTGGTGCAGATAAAAATATAGAAAAACGAAACATTGGGAATATGGTTAAAAAAAACAGAATGAAAAAAGTATGAATGAAGGAATAATGGAACTGAAGATTTAGAGGTAGATAAAGTAAAGTGTGAGTGCACCAGAGCCATGGTGATCGATTCTGATCTAGATCACCTAACATTTTTAACTTATGTACTATAGAGTTAAGCTAGCATAGTAGGATTGACATCACAAAACAAATATAAGTCATAAACAAATACAAAAACATCCCCGCTCGTATTACAAGACGGTGAATTTCAATTTAAATAACGATCAACAGAACTGAGATAACTACCTGCAGTTTTATTACTAACAACAAGTTGTTTACATCATTTTTAACTCAGATCATGAACCGATCAATGTCAGACCATCGGTAAAAACCTGGGAGAACTGGATAACCGTCTCGTCCTGGTATCAGACTCCTCAGTAGTGTGCATCTATTACTACGCGGATCATCTCTCAAAGCTAGTTACTAGAGGTTAGGCGTTCGTGTGCGAGACCAAAGGTCCCGAGTTCGAATCTCGCGTGCGGGACCATGAATGCACACTTTTGATGAGTCTCACACCAGGATGAAAAGGCCGTTCCAATGCTTTCAGGTTTCTAATTGTAGTCTAACATTGATCAGTTTATGATCTCAACTATAAATAAACAATCTCCATAACCTTATACTGATACGTTAGTTTTAGTTTGAAATACATAAACATGTTCTTGAAGATCTGCATTTATAGCTTCTTTTTATAACACAAGTTATTTTAATGTCATCAATAATCTAATTACAGATGAAATATTTTATATTTTTCTAAAGTACTTTGATTACAAAAGAGCATCATAACCTTCATACTAATATATGATTAACACAAATAAGTATAAATTTAGTCAAATCATGATTAATCTACGAATTCTATAAATAACTGAAATTATGTCATTATTTCAAAGTGATTGGAATACATTGATACTGTTCGAAGATTTCACTGTATTCATAAAAATGTAGCTTGTTTTAAATATTTTCTTATATAAATATTATAAAAACAGACAAACAAAATTTCAGTTTAATATTTAAAATTTAGAAAATAATTTTCATTGTGAACTAGTTATCTCAGAAAGATTATAATCACTTGGTATTGTTTTACTTGTATCTTCCCATTGTTATTTAGAACTGAAATTGATCAGTCTCTTGTTGGTATATGTTCATCCTGTGCCGATTGCCTCAATATAGCCTTAAGTCACAAGCTTTTTAAGCAAAGATGGATAGTGGCTAGCAGTGGAATCCAGTTTGACACGCGTTTCAAACTATTTGGGACGCGTCAACTGGATGTACCTGTATCTCAAAGTTAATAATGTTCACTCTGGGACTCGAACTCAGTGCTGTTCGCTTCAAACACTATTGAGTTATTCACTTGGCAAATGGAAAGATACAAGTAAATAATATCAAGTGAATTTAAACTTCATCCCATTGCACAAGCAAGTGTCTATCAGGACTTGGTAGCTAGGTGCATAACGCGATGGCGTTTGAAGCGAACGGTGATTGTTTCAAGTTCCTGAGTGAACATCAATCCTTGGATGCAAATACATCCAAATGAGGAGAGCCAAATAGGACGAAACGCATGTCAAACTGGATTCCACTGTTAGCCACTATCCATCTTTGCTTAAGATTATAATCGTTTAGTTAGAAATTGCGGGACATAGACTGGATTAAAGCATGCTCAATGCATGATTGCTTCGGTGCACACTGATTGGCTAATTCTTGTCCAATCAGCGTTAGCCAATACTTAATGAACACTACCAATAAACTAACGTTTTCCCTATTACTACTTGCTTGCCTCTTACTTCCATCTAACCTTGTTATTTGGAATATAATCTCTTTCCTGTTCAACCGTGTTCTGATTTGGGAACTTGTCGAGTGAATCGGTGTCCGAGAATACTAAGCAATAGGAATAGCTGGGTCATAACCGTAAGGGAGAAATATAACAACTGGATTCCACTGTTAGTCACTATCCATCTTTGCTTAAGATTATAATTAGTTAGTTAGGAATTGTTGTTTCATATGATACTTCAAAATTTCTTGTAATAATTTTTTTTTAAATACACAACCATAATATTTAAAGTAACTCAGTTGAAATTCCAAAAAATATACACTAATTAGAAAGAACTTAATTCAACTGAAAAGTCTGCGTTCTTATATAATTAAGCTTTACAATAAACATTTTGATAAGACCTTATCTATTGTTTTAGATTGAATTAGTTAGACATAAATACGAACAATATAATTTAACCGTTGAAAATCAGATTATTTGTATCATTAATCCATCTAAATATTACAAAATAAAACAAACATCAAATACAATTAAAAGTCATTTTGTATATTGGTAACCAGATAACTAAATCCAAGAGTTGAGAATATTGTTTCCAATTTCAGAGAGTTCATGGATATTAAACAACAAAAATAAAACTTATAGATATTGAATAGATTTAATTTTCAGGAAAATCAATTTTAAATTAGTTACTGTATTAACAACATCAAACGATTGATATTTATCAGGTGACAATAAGTAAACATTTATAACCTCGTATATTAAAAAGTGTTATTCAAGAATTGAGTAAAAAATATAAGGCAGATACCTCTGTAAGATGCTCCCAAATGCCCTGTTACGGCCGAGAGTGAGGAGAGTCAACTCTCCCTCTCCAAATGCTCTCACATTGCCACGCATATATAGCCTCTGCCAGGGAAGTCCTACTTATCGCCTTCTCGTGGCATTACTGTTGTTTACGAAATTGAGAGGACGAAAAGCGAATGTCCGGCGCTTTAACCGGGCTGGCGAACATGGAGAGTCCACCTAGGGGAGTTGGAAAACCTTGATCTCAAACCAATGATGCACATGGGCTCCAGTATCCTAAAGGAACAAATGGCGTATGAACCAATCGTTGGTCACCGGCTACCATGGGATTGCATCTCTTTACGTTGCTCCACTGCCTTGTGGATCAGACCTTCAGGTCGAAGGCTCGGGGTGTGGCCCCCTAAGAAAACCACCTGCTTCGGTCTGGGCACCCGGGCAGTATCACAGACCTCACACATATCAAATGAGGTTTGTGAGGCGCATATGTATTTGGGTGCCTCCTTGTACCCATATTTATGTGTTAAAATAAATAAATAAATAAAATTTATTTTCAATCCCTCATTTGTTTTTCAACGAATTTATTATCAAGCTGTACAATCGTATATTTTCATATATATATATATATATATATATATATATATATATATATATATATATATATATATATATATATATATATATATATATATAAGACTGTACAGCTTGATATTAAGTTCGTTGAAAAGAGATCCCTTTATTGAACTTCGTGTTTTTAAGTTTTTAATGTTTAAATGGGGATTATCTGTCATTTGTTATCGGTTTTTAATGTAAAACTTTGTAATACATAATGAGTGGAATGTAATGATATAATTATGTTGATATTTCCTTACAGGTAGTATTGGAAATCATTTGCAAGTAGGTGTAATCTCACAATTTACATATGAAATAAAGCTTAATGAATGTTATCAAACAAAGTGATGTCACATTTGTTAGATAAATACTAGTGAAAATGTATTATTTCAAGTTTATTATTGTTAAGTAAACTATTATAATAAAATCAAAAAGTCGATTTATTATGGAAGTAGATGTTTTCATTAGACTGAACAATACTTAATTCAGTCCCATATTTTGAAATCTTTCAAGATGATTGATAAACAATCAAGGTTCCAGTTGTTGGAACCATTGTGATAACAGGTGTGAGAAACCTAATTTATATATTTAAAAGGAGGTATTTGTTAATATTTCTCCGACTTTTTGACACAAATATCCTTTCGTTATATCGAAGAAATTTCTGTTCGAATCTTTATTATGATTGATTGCATCATGACATCTATTCTTTCGACTCTCTTATAGATCAATAGCTTTATTTTTACTGAGCTTTATCCAATGTTTTTTAATCTTACTAATAACGTTCGTCCATTACTTAGTCACTTGGTCCTTTGTTACCAACAGTCTTGTAGAATGTTCTACATAAAATATGTATTTGCAGTATTATATCTAATCTCTTAAATTTATCTAATTCCCTAATATACAGCATGATGTGTGCTCGAAACGATTTTTAACTAAAGTTATCTGTGCAAGTAATGACAACCAATGCTGTAATTACAATAGGTTGTAAGCATCTGATGAGAAGCCAATTAAATACAGTGGATTCACGTTATTCTGCTCAAATCTTTGTTATTGGTCGCACCAAAATTATCCATAACAATAATAATAATATGCTAGAGCTTTAAAGGTTACTTTAACAATTTATTCAGCAACAAGGGGAAATAGTTGCAAATCAAATCAGTTTTAGACTGATAGAAGGATGGAGTCCTGATTACTTCATGCTTTTTTCAAGCACAAATCACAAAACGCTGATTAGTCTATTTTAAACCAATTAGAGTGAGTGGACATATATGCATGTTACAGGATTCTAATGTAAACATTTTATATTTTTTATTCGTCTATCTTTGGTTTTCGGGCTAATTGTAATATTTGTCAGCCCCTTTCAATTCTGATTTTGAATTGGTAGAAGTAATGTGAAGTACAGTGTCCAAAAAATACTAAATAGGAGAAGAATATGATTAAAACTTTTAGTTAAATATGCTGTGTTTCCCAGGTGAAATAGTCATTAAGAGAACTATAAAAAAGTATTATACATACTTTTCACTCAAATCTATTAGGTTAAAAACAAGTACTAATTAACATTTAAAAATATATCATATACTGAACTAAGAAATGTAATAAATATAACCAACCGAATAGAAAACATCTTTTTTATGTCCATCAAGAACAAAACTCTTTGCACCACCAATAACGGATATACACAGACTTGGTTTTTCTGGTTCCATCATTTTCCAATAATCTTTCATTAGTGTCATTACATCTTCAAGTTTATCTTCATCCGAAATTCGAACAAACTGTAATTGTACAGAATGAAAAAAATATGTCGAAAGTACAAAAAACAATTAAATAATAAACTATATATATATATATATATATATATATATATATATGGCTTGTGGACTACTATTCTAGAACAACAATTTTGAGTCTTATATATCCACTGGAGCCAGAGCAGTGTTTTCTTCTCTCCTTTTCAATTTGTTTACTTCACCTCTCAACCTGTTGCTGTGTAAAGTTCGAAAAATTGGCCTAATAATAATAACAACAACAACTTGCATAGAAAACAAATAATTATCAAGGTTGGGTGGTGTTAAATTAGTCTACTTCGACTAGAAACGAAAGAATACTCATATAATTGATAGGTGAAAGAAACTTAATTTTAACTTGAGTAGATGAGTTTATATTTTGAGCAATCTTTCTCTCTTTCATTCTATGCCAGGTTTATAATTCAGATCAATCAGTTAATTTAAGTAATAAGAATACCTTAACATTGAAAAGTAACCAACATTCCATTGATAATTTTATAAAATTAATTAATCTACACACCCATTAGCCGCAAAAATAATGCTAATATAATACTCAATAAGTTTATTTAATAATGTACACCATAAAAATGATACCATATTATTAATTATAAATAGAAAAAGATATAACAAAATGGTCATGAAAAAAGAGAGATGACTTTATTATTAGTTTTGTGCATGTTACAAAGACACTACTGTTCTTTTACAACGTAGATGTTATTTGCTAGAAATTTGAAAATTACAATAGATTTCGGCCTACCGTCAAAATAGTTATACTTTTATAAAATTTTGTGTTGTCAAGAGTAAAGCTGGAAGTTTAGTGACGAGTATGCTTCTGATAAATTTATGTCTAGTAGTGATCATAATAATAGCACAAAAGAACATATTACATGTCGCTAGGTTACAGCATTTTTGACATAATATATAGACGTTAGGTGGTTGAAGGCATTTGGTAGAAAGCCAAGGACATAATTTTCGTGCTAGTTGACACGTATCATTCATGCATACTTAAAATCTAAAGAGGGTTGATGAAACGATGTCAACCAATATAAAAGTCTCAAATGTTACAGTACTGAATTATTTGAGCCGCGACTGATCACCTATTAGCAATGAGGTATATACAATTGACCGACTACTGAGTAGTCACGATAGGTGATTGGAAGTAGTTTGTAAGAAACCCAGTGTCTTGATTATTGGGTTATTTGATCCTCATCAGCCAAACTGACACTTAATTGACAGGATTCAATAAGCCCTAAAGGACTAGACATGCTCAATGATCAACTGACTGTAAATTAACAGTATGGGTTAGAAAAATAACGTATAATTTAACAACCACGAGCAGATGAAGTCAGCAAGGAATACATGCACTCGCATATCGAAACATTTACATAGATTCGTTCAAAGAGATATTACAGGCGCTTCAGTGAACAATAAAGATTTAATTGTATAATAACACATTAACAAGCTTGTAACTATCTCCGTACTTATTTAATATTTTATAAAGATGTCGAAGATACGTCTAATAGTGTAATTACTGCCTTTTAAAGGATTCGTAGATTCGTACATCCGTGGTACTTTACGTATTAGAAGCAATGAACTCTAGTGAATACAAGAAAAGATAAGTATAATACCAATTCCAGGGTTATTAAATGCTTCGGGATTATGATGAAGTCACTGAATACTTTATCATCGCAGATCTACATATCCTATAACGTGGACTTTAAGAAATTAATACTAAGACTAATATCCCTGCATAGCTTCTTAAGCACAACAAATCATCATTTTCAGAACGCTTCAAATTTGTTGTTAGCAAGAAGGTGAAGCGAAAAGGATCACTTGAGTTTTCTTTAAGAATAGGGAGTATTTAATTATCATTGTTCAACCTAAGCCATTGTTAAGAATATTTGATAAATACAAATTACATTGCAACTACCATAAACAACAGCAGAGATCACAGACAAATTAGAATATTTGAAGTTATATGTTCTGTAGTGATCTTTTATTACAATAAGTGTGTTCCATTAAATAAGAATAGGAAAGATGACCTATAGATAATTCAGTATATAAGACTAAAGTTAACCTTTCAGTGGTCATATTTCTTGTTTTTCATAGACCACATGTGTTGTAAACAGAATTTACGGGACGTAATAACTAAGATAAAAAAAGAAAACAAAGGCAAAAATTTGAAAAAGATCTTTTCAACTTTCAAATGTAAATGAAAAAACCACAGCTTATAGAATAATTATATACCGCTTGACCATAAAAAGCAAATGGAGTTTATTTTAATCAGCTACTGTGGGGAAAATATCTAGCCAAAACGGCCATGGTGATTTATAATCTGTACAAATAATTAAATGAGGAATACAACGATCCCGACCCAATAAGACCATTCGGAAGTTACCTCTGTGGGTTTTTGAATAGGCGAATCAGAGAATTCGATTTGACCAAAAGCATTCGTCGGTCCAATAACTTTTATATCATTCGATTCTGTCCACGTATTATCATTCTTATTGATTACGTTCTCATCTATAGAACTAACTTATAATTCATAATTCTATCACATACAGTCATAATGTTTGTAGTCCAGCTCTCCACAATAGCATCTAAAGAAACTGTATTAGAGAAACCTGAAAATTACTGAAGGTGCCCATGTGGACGCGGAGGTTTGGTAGGATCCGGTACAAACTTTACACACTCTTTAAATGTGAAGCATCTAAGTATAAAGTTGTGTTTTTTCTGAAAGAAAGAAATATTATTCTCAAAGATCTTAGATGCATACTGTTCCTTGTCGTTCCGAAATCCGACTTCTGAAGGCCCTTTTCGCTCGTATAACAGCTGTGGCGAAGCGTCCTGAAATAGTGAAAACAACTAATAAAAAGCTTTTGTAAAAGTGCACGGTGGGCAATCCTGGTTAATTATTCTAAGAACAAAAAGGTTAAAACGATTCGTAATAAACACAGGGAAAGGACCTTGGTTACAGCATATAACGCATGCAATCTAGGGAAATATCAAGACGATCCGGACAGGATGAACATATGCCAATAAAAGAATGATCAATCGCAGTCCTAAACATTAATGGGAAGATTCAAACAACCAATATAAAGTGAATTAAAACTTCAGGTGATTGTACAAGCTAGTGGCTAACTGGACTCAGTAACTACATGAAAATTACAATGACGTTTGAAGCGAACGGTGCACATAAACTCTGAGATGCAGGTTTATTCAGCTGATTAGTGCCAAATAGGACAAAACGCGCGTCTTTGATTCCACTGTTAATCATTATCCATGTTTGCTTATAATGATTGTGAATTAAGTCAAAGGCTCCGGGTGTGGCCTCTCTAAGAAACCCCTGCTTCGGTCCAGGCACCCCGACAGTATTACAACCCACACACAAACCAAATGACATGACAAATACTGGAAATGCCATTCTCGCTCCAATTAAAATCCATATAATTCACATTCATTTTTATTTTTTATATACTACGTCACTTAACTACTCTCTTCGATTCTCACTTTGTGTATCCTTGCTCCATTTAAACGACCTCTAGTCACTGACTGGTCAAAACTTGAATTCTACCACCGAATACAAATACTAAAACAGTTTTTCTGAAACCATGTATACCACTCAAACTGGCTCCCTTCAACGTTTGCACACTAATGCAGGTAGGACAACAGATAGGATTGGGTGTGTATTTAGAAAGTCACAACATCGATGTCTCATGTCTACCCGAGAACAATCTTCAAAACTCCAGTGAAGTACCGAAAATTTGCTCTCCGTCTATCGCTAAGGAAAGCTTGTTTCATGTGCATTTATCCGAGGACCCTGTGTCAGCTTCGTCCGGTTTTTCTGGAATTGTTGCACTAAGCGCTAAAGCTAAGGCAACACTGACCAACTGGATTTCCATTAGATCAGAAAGTTCCGTCAAACTAAGAAGAAATCGGTGTGAGAAACGACGTCTTATTGTCATCTCCGCCTATGTTCCGATGAATTGCAGCCAGGATGCGATTAAGGATGAATTATACCACCACTTAGCAAATCGTCTACGGAAAGTGTGTTCCACAGATATTGTAGTACTTGCCGGATACTTGTAGGCTCAAGTCGGGCGTTTAGGCACACAAGAAAGTCATTTATGTGGCCGATTGGGACTTGTTGGTTGCAGGTCAGATAACTGGGACCGTCTACTGCAATTGTACGCAGACTACAACTTGTTTCTGGCTAGCACTAACTACCGGATGTGCCACCTGGAGTCCTCCCCCTGAATCACAATTCTGGACTCAGATTGATCACATCGTGATCAGCTACGGCTGATGTAGTTGTGTACAAGACCGTTGCTCCTTCTGACGTACTTATCTGCACTCTCATCATGCTCTTACCTCACTTTTCAATGACCAACAAATTAATGTTCATAAACAGATCGATGTCAGTAACTTGGTTGCAGATTCTGCTACAACTAAATATCAAACCGAGCTCGTTTTAAGGCTAGCTAAAATCCCACCAAAAAGCGTAGATGAGCATTGGTTGCAATTGCATGACGTCATGAAAATGGCGAGTAAAGTCTCTTGCGTCTTCGCAAAACGTCCCGCTTTTAAGCACTGAGTTTTTTCAGGCTCCTTACAGCACATTGGAGCCTATCAGTCTACTCCGAGTGGCCACGAATTTGACCACAAACGACGACTGTTGTGTATTGAAGTTGAGCAAAGCTTGCGTAAGGACCGAAAAGCATAGCATTTAAAACGTATCAATAAGTTGGAAGCAGTAGCTGCCAGAAGCTCTTCCAACACATCCCAGTCAATGGTAGCAAGAAATTTGGTGTGAGCGAAACAATCTGTGATGATGAGATACATCTTTATATATTCGTACCCATCACACCCAACACATATTTCCAGAACAGGTAATTCCTCTCTAATACTACTGAATTAATTCTAGACAATAGCAAACCTGATTTAAGACAGGACCTGAAATACATTTAATGAACCTATGGAAAAATGTACAAGGAATTAAAAAATCCCAACATCCACCTTAGTAGAAGTAAATGAAACGTTTGCACATGGTAACTACCTCTTTATAAATCATTCTGCTCCTAATTAGAATACAATATCTTTGAACATGATAACTGAGTTATTTCAAACTTGAATATGGGACCATACGTAACTTCTACAGCACATATGAGACAGTTCTACGAATTGTTGGTTGACATGCCGAACTCCACTAATTCTAACGCACGGGGCTATAAATTACGCAAGCACTTGAGCATTGACTTCTCGGATACTGAAATACGACTACGTGAGGAACTTCATAAAACATATATAGTGTTCCTTAACCAAATAAAATAACTAGATGTGCGTTTATTTTGAGGATCTTTATTACTGACTTCGACAAGTTAAATCACTCAGACTGCTGGATTACTTCCATTCTACGAAAATTCTTTCCAATAATGGTGAAAAAAGTAGACAAAATATAACAACGCGACAGACATAAATAAGCTGAAATTAGTAGCACTATAGTTTGCCTTATCAAATTTCACACAAAATTTCATCAAATACACAAATGACAATAACTTCTGACTGCAGAATACTAAATGTTAGAATTTTTCTCGTTTTAACTTCTAATACAGTAAGAGCACGGTTTAATTTATTGAATTCTCCACATTGAACATCACGGTACATGTCCACATTTTCATTATTCATTTTGTACCGTAGTAAGTTATTTAGGTTGAAAATTTTTACTTACCGACACAAGTGAGGTAAAACGGTGAATGACAGAAGCCTACTAATGTGTCTGGATGTATGAAATATGCTAGAAAACGGACTTGATATTATACATCTCTTAGTATCTAATAACTAGAACGGATACTGTTTGGTGATGCTTTAATGAAGCGTACCTTGAAAAGCACAACTAAGCAGCATTATTGGCAGCCGTTTTAGCTCACAGTTCAACCTATATGGTTATAATCATATGTTAATTCCCTTTTCTTCAAATTGAAAGGTTTACGATTGCCATAACAAAGAAACAACAATGTATCGAAAGTCAACTCACTGGGTCATGCGTAAATGTTTGTTATGAGGCCCAGCCAAGGTTTTAAACAACAAATATGTGTTTTTTTAAGACAAACATAAAATCGTTTCGTTTCGTTTCATTTTTAAATAAGCCTCATATGGGGTGACAATGGGCAAGAGTAACTGACTATCTGCGTCCAATTATGAACCTTTACCCAGACACTTATTTTCCTGTAGAATCATACTATAAAAAAAACGTTGGTTAGGCTACGGATATAATTGAAGAAAGGATTCTACCAACATATTTGGACAAATATTTTTACCAAAATAAATATACAAAATGCAATTATTAAGGTAAAGAGCTTGATAAATCAGTAAAACTTGCCTGCCTCATTTTGATCTCCATATACGTTAGCCCTGGCACTAGAAACAACACCTTGGAACATAGTAAAATAACTGAATTGTTGACATAAATTAGGTCATTTGTTGGTCACTTATAAGTAGAACAATTAAACAATGAAAGTCAAGCACAGAGAAGTCGACAAGCTTACTTCAGAGCACTCATTATCGAACTCACCAATCCTTTTTATTTTCACTTTCCTAGCAAATGTAGCTGTGCAACTATGTCTTACTTTTCAGTTTTTATTTTCAGTTTTTCACGTAAAGGCTAGTTCAGTTTATCTCATCCGTTTTTATCCACTTTGCTCGTTTTTAGTGTGCTTTTCAGTGTATTTTTGTACGATCTTAGGCGTTTGCTAGCATCTACAACACAGTTTACGTCAATACAGTCATGAAAAATTCATGCAAACGACCTGCATGCCGTTTTGCTGTTACATCTGGCATGCAGTGCGACAACTGCAAAGGTTGGTTCCACGAAGCGTGCACAGATCTCACAGCAACTGCTTACAACAGACTCAGCAAGTCGGATCATAAGTGGGAATGTGTTACGTGCAGCACGGATGCTGTAGTCTTGCTAAGTAATATCATTGTCCTACTGACAGGTCTGTGGAGTAAGTTGTCAGCAAACTTGGAAAAAGACAGTCATAAAACGGGTAGACAAACAAGGGCGCGCAACGCAAACAAGAATAGGAATGTCGACAGGTCTACCATCGATGGACTGTCTTGATGATAAAAAAACGTGTAATTGATAGGGCCCACCAACTCAGCAAACCTCATATAGTTAGGCTACACATTCACGTAAGGCTCATACACACAAACAGGAAGAAGCTCACGCGTTTCAAATTGAAAGCATAAACTGCTTATACATGAACGCCGCGAGTCTACCAAACGAAATGGATGAGCTACGTGAACTTAGCAATATTCATAAGGCTCATCTGATAGGAATATCTGAATCTTGGATATCTTCTCAGTTCTCGGAACAGGAGCTAGCAGTACCTGAGATGTCTTTGTTTCGCAACGACAGAAAATCAGCAATTGGGGGTGGAGTAGTCATGAACATACGATCTTGCTTGGAGGTACACCAAGCTCATAACCTCGAGTTTAACAATCTTGAGGAATCCATATTGTGCCCTGTAAGATTGTCTACTACTTCGAGGTGCCTATTCGGAGTCATATATAGGAAGCCCATTGCCGACATCAAGTACGACAGTCGTATACTGGAAGGATTATCCCGCTCTACTCGTCTCAGTTTCACTCATATCCCGATTCTAGGGGATTTCAATCTCCCTAGAGTCAACTTCGTGGAACATACGTACATTGGAGGTGAAAACTCAACTGTAGCTCGGTTCTTCAACCTCATTGAGGACTTGGGATCATATGAAAATGTAAAGTCGGTAACTCGTTGGAGAAACAGTCAGACACCATCGCGCTTAGACTGTGTATTTACAAACGAAGAATTCCTAGTTGACAACCTCTCAATCCTCGCTCCCCTCGGAAAAAGCGATCACGCCGTTAGAGCCTTCAGTCTCGTCAGCAAAACTGAGCTAAGATATCCCACCAACAACTTGAGCTGGAACTTCAAACGGTTGAATGTGTCAGCTCTACAGGACTATCTACAACAGGTGGATTGGGATGTTCACCCTCAACTCGATGTGGACGCTCATTGGGACTATTTACTGCACACGCTCATATGTGCTACAAATCATTCAGTTCCCCAAACGGTCCCCAAAAGCTACAAGCAACTTACAATCATCAAGAACCGCACACTTCGCCTGATAAGCCGCAAAAGGCACTGTTGGGCAGAATACATTCGAACTGACAACAACGGAGCATACGGGCAATACAAACATGTAAGGAACATATGCACAAAAGCAAAAGGAGAAGGCAGAATTCAGTAGTAGATAAAGCTTATCGATAAATTTGTCTCCAATCCGAAAAGTTTGTTCCGTTATGCAGCCCCTCTTCGACAAGCCAAAACTGGAGTTTCCCAACTGCTAGGTTTTAACGGCCCGACCAACGACGACGGCGACGCCGCTGACCTTTTGGCTGAACAATACTCTCGGACATTTCAACTGACCCACATAAGCTATACTGACGAAAGCTTCATCTATAACTTCAAAGGACTTACCGAAGTGAACCTGAGCGCTGACTTGGTGTTCCGGAAACTGCAGCACTTAAGAATTGACACTTCTGACTCGAATATGGTTCGTTGTGTCATACTGAGGGAAGCAGCCTCAATCCTGGTAACGCCGCTTAGCGTGATGTTCTCACACTCGCTAAGCCGAGGAAAAAACCGGAAAATTGGAGGCTGGCTCACATCACACCAAGTTTTACAGGAGGTCGACGCAGCGAACCTTCAAGTTACAGACCGGAGGCCCTTCTCTTAATACCTTCAAAAATCATGAAGTCCCTGATATGCGAAGGTATGTACGATTATTCATTATCCATAAACTCCTGTTCACTCCAACAGCACGGTTTCAGGAAGGGGCATTCTTGTATAACCAAATTGTTGACTGCGGTGGACAGATGGACAACCATCCTCAATCACAAGGAGAAGGTTGATATCATCTACCTAGAATTCTCAAAAGCTTTTGACAAGGTTAACCATACATGTCTTATCAATAAGCTCAAACGATTGGGTATCAGACCACCTCTAATCGATTGTCTCACTTCATACCTGAAAAATCGACATTTAAAGGTCAGGGTTAACTTCACTTTATCTCAGGCTTTGTAATGTCCTAGTGGAGTGTCCCAGGGCTCAGTAATAGGACCTCTTCTCTTCTTGATCTACATAAATGATCTTACTCAACAGGTAACGTCAGACTTATTAATTTTTTCCGACGACGTGAAACTTTGGAGAGAGATACGCAACCAAGACGATATACAGGCAATTCAGAAGGATCTGACTCGACTTTAAAGCTGGGCAGACGATAACGGAGTTACCTTTGACTCTTCAAAGTATAAAGCAGTCCATCTGCGACATGTCATAACTTAGGAAACTCCTCTCTAGTAGTACCCCGAGTCGAAAAAGATGTCGGAGTCTTGGTCCCCCATGACTTAAAGTCTTATGCTAACTGTGACAAACTTGCGCTGGTAACGTTGAAGCGCATTTTTGGCCAGTTTGACGGAAGAACTTTCCATATAATCTTCAACGGTTTTATCCGTCCGTATTTAGAGTATGGAAACATGGTATTGTAACAGCTTAGGTTGGTTGGTTAAGAGTTCACCTCAAACAACCAAGCATATGCCAAAACAATATAGTTCAAATATTTATTCACTTCCTTATGTTGTATAAGCGTTATATTTCCTATTATCTTATATTGAATGTCGAGAGGCATTGTTTGTCTAATTGAATAAACCCACGCTCCACTGTGACTGCGCGAGGATCTAAATAAACACCTCTTCACTACTTGTCTGGTTTCTTCTATCAATAGCACGAGGGTTACCTTAAGGCACGAAACTGGTGAGCCCGACGTGATTATCCGTAAATTAAGTTGGGTATATAAATAGTTCATTTTTTATTATCTTAAGTTATTCGTGTTATAGTAACCATTTTTCGTGCTAATTTTATTGCTATATTTGTCACATACCTCATGTCAGACTCAATAGAAACCCACAATCTGGAAGAATTGTCACCAGTGGAGATAGACACTGTTATGACTTCGAAATCCCGACTTCCAGAATTTGATCGTAGTGATCCTGAGTTGTGGTTCGCTCAACTGGAGCATTATTTCACGAGACACAATATCAAATCTGAAGGGACTCGCTATAGAGACTTGTGTTCTACCTTTCCTCCTTCAGTCGCCAAAGAAGTCCGTGACTTGATTTTAAGTCCACCGTCACCACAACCATACACCATCTTAAGACGAGAGATAATGAACCGTTTATCACCATCAGACAGTCAGAGAATCCAAAGACTTTTCCAAGTAGAAACATTAGGTGATAGGTCGCCGTCACAGTCTTTACGTCACCTCCAAGTCTTAGTGGGTGATAACAAAGTGGGTGAAGCAATCCTGAAACAAGGATGGATACAAGCTCTCCCATGCGACGTCCAACACTTTTCGAATGCACAAGATCCTGAAACCTCCTTGTCTCATTTAGCGCGTGTAGCCGATAGAATAATGGAAAGAGGTCCTCCAATTGGATCACGCACGATAAATCACACACAAAAAGTAGAATCAGCGAAAGACTTGGTGATAGAAGGACTCATTGCGAGTTTTAAGAGTCTCACTGAAGCTGTCGCCAGAATGCAAATGGGTTATAGAAACAGGAGCAGGTCACCACAACGACCACGGTCCAAGTCACAAAACAGGTCAAAAATGTCCAGACAATCTGGGCAGTTTTTTTGGTACCACTGGAAGTTTGGTGTCAACTCAACTAAGTGTATGCAACCACGCGCCTGGCCTAAATATAGTTCTAAGACAGCGGGAAACGAGTAACCCCTCCCCAGGTCGCGACGGCTGAGGAGGGGCGCCTAAACAGTCGCTTGTTTTATGTTAGAGACAGCAACTCTGGCTTGAATTTCTTGGTGGATACTGGCGCTGCTCTTAGCATCATCCCTCAAAATAAAACTGAGATTAGTAGAGAAACACCATCAATTACACTTCAAGCTGTAAATAAAACTAAAATCGCGACATTTGGGCAGAAAACTTTAACTCTAAATTTGGGGTTCAGGAGGCAATTCCCTTCGGTTTTCACGGTAGCCGACTTAGATCTGGCAACACTGGGGATGGACTTTCTAGAGAGATACGAATTTCTAGTTGACACCAAGAAACGGCGATTAACACTAAAAGAAACTTCGTATTACACAAAAGGCAAAGAAAGTCACATCAGCTCTCTTAACTTGATTCAAACCCCTCCAGTAACAACAGCGAAATTCCAAGATATACTCGCGGAATTTCCAAACTTAACTAGACCAAACCCACAGTCTTCCAAAGACAAACTAAAAGTAAGTCACACTATCAAAACCAAAGGTGCACCGGTGTTCGCAAAACCCAGGAGACTAGCACTAGATAAGCTCAAAATCGCTAGGGCAGAGTTTGATTAT